TCCCCTCTTTAGTTTAGAATTGTCTTGAACTTTTTCTTCCTTTCAGGTCCATATTTAAATACCTGCGTATTAATCTAGTTGGTTGGGTGTAGTTTATACCAGTTGTATACTGGTTATCAACATGAAATTGGCAAACAGTTCAAAATTTGATTAAATTTGCATTGCTTCAGCATTTGTCTTTGGAGAAGACTGTTTACTATACAATAATATATATATATTAATAGCATTTTTATGCTACTTTTCCACACATTGAGACTGATATACTTGTCTTATTGGCATATATGAGTGCATTCATACCCTTCTCAAAGAATGTGGTATCAAGTGAGTGTAATATATCTGCCACAATAGTTCATCTTTAAATTAACTTTAGATTTAAATTGATGACAGTCTGAAGGAGTCTTGTGCAGTAAATTATTCCAACCATATTTCTGGAGCCACTCTTTTGTCAAGACCAAGTTCCAAAAACATACTAAATTGGTGGCACTTATCTTGAATCAATGCATCCAAGGTTGTCTTGTATGTGGACAACATATACACATTTTTTTTTTTCTGCAGACTCATTTGCTCTTTCTGTGAATACCTTATACCAGACCATCTCCTGCTCATTACATGTTAACCATTACACACCAACAAGTTCAGATTGAATTTCTATTGGATTTGTGCCCTTGGAATGCAAAGATCTTAGAATGCCTTGCATCTCAGTTTGTCTATTGTTTGCTGATCTATGTTGCGATGACACATAAACATGCACTCAATATTAAAGCTGCTCTTATAAAAGGCATTGCTTACTCCTTGTTGCTCTGTGTTTACAGCTTTCAAAATGTTTTAATTCCAGCCAATTTGTACTTGCATGTATCTTACTTTTTGGACATTCATTATAATAAATTTAATTTGACATACTGTATATTTCTGTGCATAAGACAACTTTTAACTCTTAAAAATTATCCCCCAAAATAGAGGTTTGTCTAATACAACAGTTACAAAAAGCTAACCTTAAACCCTGTGTTGTATGCTTGCGCCATGGATTGTGGTAGGCTAACAACTGCCTCAGTATGGTAACTACCAATGTAAATATTTCTAGTTGAATCCAATTCACATTATAAATGTAATAAAACTACTTTTAGTTCTTGATTTCACATTAAAATGCAATATTCAATAGACGATTATACAACAATTTTCAAAAGTTCTGCTGAGCAACATGCACAGGTAACAAGTAATATAAACAAATTTTTTGTTCTTGATTTGTAGAGCTATGGGTGCATTCACACCAATCATTATTTCTCATAGTAGTGGTAAACAACATTTAGTATAACATGCAAATTTTATTTTTCAATAACGTACATTATACAGTATTTGTTTACTGTTAAGCAACAAATCATTTAAGATACCATAAAATCTTTTTCTCATTACAGAATAAAAAATATAAGACACCCGCATACATAATTAAAACCCTTCACAATTACTATGATCATCATCATTTGATGTAAAGAACTCATCATAAACATTATTTACAGTGTCATCATACGGTACCCAGTTGGTTGTCTTATACTATGAATATCAGATAAAATCACAAAAATCTTAGATTTTGTGTCTCATCTTATCTATAGGTTGCCTTATACATGAAAATATATGGTAGATTTATTGACTATTTATCTTTGATGGATATTTGTGTTTTTTTATAATATATGAATTGAATGTGTAATGTTAGACATGCAGAAACACATATGCACACACATACATACATATATATATATATATATATATATATATATATATATATATATATATATATATATATATACAGTGTGATGGGTAAAGTGTTGCCATTTTATATTTTTAATTTTGCACATGTGTGTTGTTTTTGATTTTGTTTTTGACTGCACACATTGTAGTAGGGTCACTTGGGCACCATCTGAGTAAAAGAGCACCATGACAAACTCCACTCTGCTAGAAATTTGGAAATGGTATGCTGTACTGCTTGGCATTCATGCTGGAAGCTTCAATATGAACATTTCAGAGTGTCAATCTGAGAACAGTGCAGAGGATTCAGAAAGAGTTGGATGATATAGCTAGTCAACATCCTGTTGTTTGAAGTGATAATTAGTTATGGCGACATTATGCCTCCAGTCATCTTTCAACAAGGCCTCAAGCTCAACACTGAGGCTTACGTCAAGTACCTCGAAGAGGTAGGGCTGCTCTGGATCAAGAGCATGGCTTCTGGAAGACCCTATGTCTGACAACAGGGCTCCGCACCATGCCACACAAGTAGGAGAACCCAGTCATGGCTGTCAGACAATTTCTGTGACCACATCACTCCTTACATCTGACCACCTATCTCCCTTGACTGCAACTGCCTTAATTATTATATGTGAGGCACAGTTGAACGAGAGTCCAATAAAACTCTTTGTAACAGCAAAGATGAACTGAAAGAAAGGATTAACCCTAACCCAAGGCAGCATTCACAAACTAAAACAAGACTATCCAGAAGAGTTGCAGGAGATTCTGGAGTTGTCTGGAGGCCGTGGTTGAAGCCAAGTGTGATTTTATTGAATAAATTTACTCTTTAGTATTTCAAGATATTTTTGTGTAATTTTAGTAAATATATGTTAAAATGAGATGCCAGTGTTATTTTCATTTTTGCGTAATTTAGATGACAATTTATCCATTGCAACCTTTACATGTGCATTTATATAATAAATGTGAATGTCAGTGTATCACTGTGTTACACATTTTCAACTTTACTCCTAGAGGCCATAGCCCAACATATACCATTTTGTAATTGGCCCGACTCTGAGCAAATTAAAAGCCTTCAGGCTGGATCCACACCCACAATCCTGAAATTTTGGATTCCCAAGTTTTCATTACTGTGATTGTTTTTGGATTCTACCATCTTCTTACTGATAAAAACAATTAAAGAGACACAACTGTCTAACTTTCAATAGCTCATGTTCAAATGAAAAAAATTACTGTTCTCAAATTACATTGTTTCAAAATAAAATTGTCTGTATTTTCAACTTTTCTCCTAGAGGCTGTATCCTAATGTATCATAGCATTTTGGAATCAGACTGACTCCGTTAGCAACTTAAAAAACACTCCAGGCTAGATCGGGACCCACAATCCTGAAATTTTGGATTCCCAAGTTTTTATTGCAATTGTTTTCAGTATTATTTTTTGTTTTCTTTTTCTTTTCTTTTTTTGTATGATAATTTTTATAACTTGGAAATAAATTTGGGAATAAACAAAATTAATTGCAAAATCCACCGAGAGCCACCCATGAAATAAAAATAATTGTTTGTAAGGAAAGTAAGGACATATATACATCAAATTGTCTTAAAATTAAGTGGTGGCAGAAGAATTGTTGAACTTTTTTAAGGCAAGCTGAAATATTAATGCAATATTTAAATGCAGTGATCAATTTTGAGTTCCTTTTTAGTTTATTGTTGCCTATTGCATCTACTCCTCCCTACCTATTGTAATGAAGACTCAATCAAGAGCCCTCTGAAGGAGCTAGCTTAAATGCTGCCTGATAGGGTGGTTTTAAGCTAGTTTTTAATATTTGTATATGAAAAAAAATACTCAAATGTTGTATCTGTGCACGCAAACATATTCTAAATATTTTGTGCAAACTTTTTCTTTTGAAATCCTTGTTTGTTTTTTTTGCTTTAAATAACAGTGGATTATTCTTAATCATTGTGTGTGTTAAATATTTTTCATTTTTTTCTGAAAAGCAACTTTAGTCATTTCACAAAAGCATCTAATTTTTATTTAGCCTCTGTTTCATTCATCAAAAATTTTGTTGCAACTTGATGCTTGAGAAATGGGATTAAAAACAACTGAATTTTTTTGTTTGTTTGTTTCAATGTAAGATTCCTCTAACAGGTGAAACATGTATATCAGAAAAATAAATTGGAAGTTGACTCCTGCGATCTCGAACGTTTATGACACTATAATACGAGAAACACATTGAGAACAAGCAACAAGAATCTGATATGAAGGTTGACAATGTAAACAAAGACAGTGAAAGGAAACAAATGACAAAATACTTGATGTTTATAGAAATAAGAAACTTTATTTACAATATAAACAACAGTTAGATGTAGACATAAATGAATAGTACTTGAATTGCACTAACAGTAGGTTTAAGTGCTATGGAGTTTTTTTCCAGCCATTTAACACCAAGTGTGTAATAAAGTGATTTCTGTACTTACTAGCAAAATGAAAAGGATATCTCCGTTATTTTCATTTGAGCTGTTGTATTTTTTTTTTTTTTTTTTTTTATAAAATGTTTCATACAACCATTATGTGTCTTAATAAGAGATTTTAAACTTAACCCTTTAAAATCTTGGTTTACTTTGCCAGACATTTAAAAATGTAAAATTTTGGCTCACAAAACCACTTTCTTTGAAGGGATCATTCACTCCATTCTGTGTTGTGGGTTGTCATGGGGATGTTGATCATTCCTGCTGCTGGATGAACCGTCTTGTGTTGAAGGTGGAAGGGATGATGTCAATCACCTTTCTGCCTAAAGGCACTGACAAAGACCCCAGGCCAATACCAAAAAAACTTTTGAAAGGCACAAACTCACTTTTTTAGGTTCATTTCCAAGGTTGGGCTAAGCTCAAATGAGGAAATTTGCATATCATGAGAAGACCCTATATGGGAAAATAAACAGATTGGTTACCTTTTCTTTCCAGTATACAAAAAAATCAACACTAAAGCAGATGATAATTATAAACATCTGCAATGAAAAAGATCATTAAACTAGCAGACAACATAATTTGACACTTTGATACATTTTTTAAAATAAAAATAGTAGCAGTGTTCAAGCTTGAGTAAAAAGCTATTGTTTTGAATAATGATTTTTTTAAGGCAGACATACTTAATTTGGAAGATTGTTATATTGGTCCTCTCCTAACTGGTGTGTCACAACACTTAAGTGTGCGTTTCTTTTAATTATTAACTACATTTTTCATGGTGTGACTATTTATTTTTCTTCTCAGGTATGGCAGTTGGAATTTCAATAAATGATTTCAATGAAATGAAAGAACTTGAAGTGATGACATTCCGTCGTAACATTCTGGAAGTGTGTAAAGAAGTGGTTGCCTGTCGTGATGACCCTGGTGGTCACAATCGGGCATTGTACACCTACCCTCCAGAAGTTGAATCGTCCAGTATACCACCCAGTCATGTTCAAAGCAAATTAAATAAAGGTAATTCTATGCATCTTTCCTTTATAATAAAGCAAAGCCTGTTTAAATCAGCTTAATTTGTAGCTATTTCATTCTACAATTATAACTATATAACTAATTATAAAGTTTAACTGTAAATTATACCTGTCTACATCTTAAATAAAAAAATTAAAAAAAAGTGGGGGGTGGGCACACTTAAGAATAATGCTAAAATCTTTCTGAATAAATGTAGATATGACTTAATCAGTCATTTTTGATTAAGAACAGATTGATTTTTCTCTGCTGACATTACTTACATTTGTCTTTGATGGGATAAGGAACAATTAGGAAACATTTACAAATTTAACTTGTTTCACTTTTATTTAAGCTTCATCAGGAATTAATATGGAAGAGAAAACTCTGGTATTTTTCATTTTTGCTTTTGTTTTTCATTAAGTAGACTTTGCATATTTGTCTTGTCTTAGAATTGTCTTCTCAGAATTAGAATATCTCATTTTAAACTTTTTAGAGGATATTTATCTGGTTTCATGCTTCTGCTCAATATTTAGAGATTCTTGATGAAATCCCAAAAAGAATCTGCAATGTTATTGATCTTGATATGGCAGCTCAGCTTCAGCCAGTTTCCCATTGCCATAACATAGCTTCCTTGTGTCTTTTCTATGAATACTTTCATCATAATTGTTCTGATAAACTTTCTTCTATGGTACATAGACTGTGGATAAAGACGTTAGTTAGATCTAGTGACAAGGCACAAAGAGTGTGAGTTCAATACCTGGTTAAGGCAGTGGAGAACTTGGAGAGGGGAATTAACAGGAGATAACTGATAACTGACATCCATTAGACATGGCACATGTAACTAGAACAGGTTACCCCAGTGAGCGAAATAAAGGGTTCAGTTCGACATTTCAACCACCTGAAGAAGGAAGTACTTGGATACATCTAAAAGGTGATCTATTTTTTCTTTTTGGTTTAAAGCTCAAGTAAGAAAATTTGACCTCGAACTTAACCTTTAATTTCTCCCCACCAAAAAAAGTATCTTTAATTTTTCTTTATTTTTTAAAATTTTTTAAAATTTGACAACAAACTTGTCTGCTTTATGGCAAGTATGTACAAAATTTTGTGAGGGCCTTTTGACTGTGATCTGAGTTACAAGGGTTTTATATTTTATATATATAGAAGAAATTCTAAATAAAAATTAATAGATGATTTTATCTACAAATAGTGGCTATAAACTGATAGAATCACACTGCAAACTGTATCATAATCTACATAAGAATTTATTGAAACTTTTTGCATAGGCTGTTAGACATTGAAAAAGCATGATTTCATTGCCAAAAAATAATCAAAATTTTATTCTAATAAGAAAAGTTCTTTAATTGATGTTGAAGTCATTTATTGCAGATTTTGCTGAGAATTATTCATTTGTTTTGCAGAATGCTGCACAAAGCTTCCACTGAAAATAATTCTCGAGTCACATTACATCCATTTGTCTGTTATTACAGAAATGACAAAGAAGAGCTGGAGCATATTAATATTGTAATTATATCAGATTGTCTCGATTAAAATAAGAAATCTGATCTATTTGTGCAACTATAAGGTTGGCTTTGGTATTGATGCAGAGTGGCACTTTTTTGCTACAGCTCATGAGGAAGAACCATGTGATGGATTAGGTGACACTATTAAGAGATTAGCAGCAAAAGCAAGCCTGCAGTGAATCTATACTTAACAAATAATGATACCAAGACAGTTTTTTTGATTATGCAAGAAAAAACATTTCAGGTATAAATATGTTGTATTCCTCAACAAATGAATGGATGAATGAAGCAGAAATTTTAGAAAAGAGATTAAAAAAAATGCCTCGACAATTACAGGAACTCAAAAACTACATAGTTTTATTCCTGTGTCTCAGAAAGAGGTAAAAGTAAAATCAGGGTCAACTCGGGATGAAAGAAAAATAGTTAAAATTATAAAATTGGATAATACAGAGCTTGAAAATATTAAGGGATTTGTTACATCAATCTATGATAGGAATTTGTGGTTAGGATGTGTGTTAGAAAAATATCCTGATAATGAAGAGGTAACATTGATATTTTTACAATTGAAGAGCCCTTCCCCATCTTTATATTATCCATTACATCCAGATATACTAATTTTAAATTATTCTGATATTCTTAGTTTAGTTGATCCAATAACTGGCACTGGAAGAACTTATAAACTTTCAAAAATTGAGATGGAAAATGTTTCAAATATTTTAGGAAAGGAAATAACCTTAACTAAAGATACAATCAAGGTTGGTCATCACAAAACATTTGAGTGAAAAATTGAAGTGGTTTGCATATCCAAATTTTAATTTTCTATTTAAACATGTATTCTAACAAGAAAAATAAGTTTGCTTGTTAATCTCTTTGTAAATTTGAGGAATCATTTTTTAAATATTAATTTCAATTTATCACTTTTTTCAGATCAAAACCTAATATATATATATATATATATATATATATATATATATATATATATATATATATATATATATATATATATATATAAAAAAAATTTGATTGTTTTATGTATTTAGTGTACCATGTCAATGAATATTTGTTACCCATTAACATCATTTGTTGGATATTAATTTTAGATTATCTTAACATTAATTCTTGACACTTTTTAAAATAATTATTTTCATTATATTACTTTTTCATACCAAAATCCATTTGTTGTATAATAAAATATGTAAACAAAACCAAAAATAAGATTGTTTATTTTCCACTGAATTGGTCAACATTTAGCCAAAAATAACACAAATTCTGTTGCTTTTATGATCATAGTTCTTATGTGAATATTAATCAGCAATCAAAGAGTTTTCTAAAGATATACAATATGACCATATTGGGAGATGTGAAAATGTTAGTATATAGTGGCAAATACCAAAATCTACCATTTTGAATCTCGTTCAACTCAGTAAAACCCTTGTAACTCAGACCCCAGTCAAAGGCCCCCCCAAAAAAAAATTTTGTACATACTTGCCATAAAGCAGACAAATTCATTGTCAAATTTAAAAAAATAAAGGAAAATTAAAGATTTATTTATTTTTTTTTTTTTGAGAAATTAAATGTTAAGTTCAAGGTTAAATTTTTTCATTTGAGCTTTAAACTAAAAAGAAAAAATAGATCAGTCACCTTTTAGATGTATCCAAGTACTTTAAATTGGTATATAATTTAGCTTTGTAGGTGAAAAAACAACTGAGATATTGATATTTTGTGACTGTTTTCCAAAATCCACCTTTTTGGCAAGGGTCAAACTGTCTTAATTTGGGTACCCTTTGACCTAGAGATGTAAAATAGATAGCATTCAATTTCTATCATGAAGCTCTATAAGTGTACCAAATTTGAAAAAAAAATATCTGTTGGTGATGGTCAAACACTTGTTGATTTGACATGGAATGACTATTGAAAACCACAAATTAAAATTCTGTCTTGAGAAAAATATAATTGCTTATTTACAGCCCACTAGATCAGGGTTTTTCAAACTGTGTGTCTCGACCTTTCAGTGTGTTGTGAGATAAATACCATGGGTTGTGACAAAAACAGAAAGAAAAAGAAATACACTCATGAGCAAAGTACAAAATATAGCCAAAACTCTAAATGTTGCACAGCACTCAAATTAAATCATCACTAGTTTTTCACAGAGATAAGCTCATATTATATTCTGTTTTTTTTTTTTCTAAGCATTCAACCCCAAGCAATGTGGGAAGCCACTAGCATGCAAGGAGTTTCAGAGTAGGAGCAAGAACAAAGAAGAGTGATAGAGGAAAGGATGAATAGACGGTTAGGGAATAAATCAGGGCATCTGGAGGCATCGATTGATGTAACATTTGAATAGTTGGAGATTATAGCTATCAGGAAAACAAGAAATGGGGAGAGAGTTCCATAGGCTAGAAGTGCGAGACATGAAGCTATTGGAGTAGAAGAGACTGCTACATTTAACAGTTTCAACAGTGAAAGGATGCAAGCGAGATACCAGCCTAGTTGAGCGCTTAAATTCACAAAGTTTGGGAACCAGCAAAAGCAGCTCACTGGAGCAGTTACTGTGAAAGTATTTGTAAAAAAGACAGAGGGAGGCAACGGCACGGCTGTGAGAGAGCGGCTGCAGACGAAATGCCAGATCAGGGCCAATTACATTGCATATCCGTCTTTGGATTTTATCAAAGACTTTGAGACTTAGAAGGGGCTCCAGACCATATATGGCAGCAATACTCCATGCAAGGGCAAATGATTGATTTGTAGATTTGAAGGATTGACTCTGGTGAGTTTCCTAGTGGTGGATGAAGCTATTGACTCAATGTATTCATTCCATCTCAGGTCAGTGGTCAAGGTGAGACCAAGCAGTTGCAAAGAGGTGCTCTCGTGGAGTTGAGCGTCAGACATTCTAATGGGGGTGCAGGGATGGTTCTCTCTGGTGAGTAAGAGAGAGCAGTTTTATTTTTGAGGCATTAAAGTTAATCAACCAATACCTGCCCCAGTCCACAACCGATTGGAGGTCCTTTTCAAGACAAATGGCCAGGTTAGTTTTGTCGGCGACACTAGATTTGTTTTTGAGGCAAGAGTAAATAGTGGTGTCGTCCGCATAGATGCCTACTTGGGAACCTATGACATCAGGAAGATCATTAATAAAGATAAGGAACAGAGTAGGGCCTAGGATAGAGCCTTGGGGAACACCTGTGTTCATGGGATAGAATGGAGGAGAATCCGTTGAGAACGACCTTCAATGTACGGTGTGACGGGAATGATTGTATTAAGTCGAACAATCGATCTGTAATTCCATAACCCTGAAGCTTGCGAAGAAGGCTGTCATGCCAAACCCTATCAAACACTTTGGAGATATCAAGAGCCACGACACGAGCTTCTCTATTATGAAGTGCTTGGTAAACAATTTCAGTTATGGCCGTAAGCACATCAGCTGTAGAACGGGCAAAGTGGAAACCATATTGCTTGTTGGAGAGCAGATTATGGGATGTGAGGTGCATAACCACTTTGGCATTGATTAAAGCTTCAAAGACTTTACCGAAGAGGGGTAGAAGACTGATAAGATGGTAATTAGAAGGGTCAGAATGGTCTCCAGAGTTCTTAAAGACAGGAACAACGGATGGGGACTTCCAACAGGGTGGAAAACAAGATTCATTGAGGCAGTAGTTATAAAATTTGGAGAAGGCAGGGGTCAGTTCAGGCACACATTTCTTCAAGACAATGGCTGGTATCCCATCTCCACCACTAGCCTTGTGGGGGTCTAATTTAGAGATGATACCCAGAACCAATGATGGGGTTGTGTGCAAGTCTCTCAAGTCAGCCTCAGTTCGAAGGGGGAAATTGGGTATAGGTACACCAGAAGAGTCGAGCATTGAATTGAATGAGGATTTCGAATAAAAGCATTCAGCCTTGTCAAAAGAGGGGCTCAAAGCAAAGAGGTATAGAGTTTTTAGAGTTTTATATATATATATATATATATATATATATATATATATATATATATATATATATATATATATATATATTATATTATATATATTTTATATAAATAGACGAAGTAGAATAAAAAAAAGAAGAAAAAAAAAATCAATGAACCCAAATAAATAAAGTAAATTATAAACAAATTAGCAAACCTTTATGACCAAAATATTAGTTAGACTATAAGAATCAAACCAAAAATCAGACGAAAAAAATAGCTATAGCTGTTATATAATGATAAAAAAAAAACTACTTAAAAAAAATCGAAAACCGAAAAACCGAAAAATAAATAAATAATAAAAAAAACAAAAAATAAATTAATCTAAATTCATACAAATAAATAAATAAACTAACAAACTAATCCCGAACCGTTAGAAAAAACAAATAAAGATAATCAATCCAAATAAATACATGAAGTAATAAACAAATTAAAAACTGTTTCCGCCAAAATAATAGTTAGAATAAACTACAACAATCAACCCAAAATTGAATAAATAGCTTTATCTTCCCAAACCAAAACAAAACTCTTAAATAAGCGATATAAACTAATTTTTAGTACGTTAATAAAAACACTGATTAAAATAAAAAAATAAATAAATGTATAAGATAAGAAATAAAAAAAAAATAAATAAATGAATAAGATAAATAAAACAAATAAATAAAAATAAAAACAAGCAAAATAATTTAACCCAAATAAATAAATAAACGACTTCCGGTAAAATAACTGCCAAAATAGACTACACACAATGCACAACTGACCCATATGTATATATATATATATATATATATACACACACACATCCGAGAAAAATAATAGCACTCGTGGCCAGACGATTGTATCTAGCATGAAACAGACTGTGACCTCTAAGTGTTGACTTCTATGTTCACTTTTGTATTTACACATGCTCTATCTCTGATATTGAGAACTTTATCCCATAAATATAGCACATCTTAAGACTATATTTCTTCATATATATATATATATATATATATATATATATATATATATATTTTTTATGAGATTTTTTTGTCACTCAATCCACAACAAACTTGACAAGATACAGAAACTCAATGAGAACAGACATATATATATATATATATATATATATATATATATATACACACACACATTATGAAATGGACAAAGTTTGACAATTATTTTAAGACATTTTTATGTTTATACATTCTTTTCATAGATACAAATATTTAAGTAAATGCTCTGTTTATAATAAACAGTATTAAACAACATTTACCAGCCTGAATGCCCGAGAAGTTTTCACAGAAAATATTCGTCCTCTGGTAAAATTTTTCTGTTAATGTGTATATATATATATATATATATATATATATATATATATATATATATATATATATGTTTCTGTATCTTGTCAAGTTTGTTGTGGATTGAATGACAACAATTCTCTCTCACAAAAAGACCTTGTGCCAAAACTTAGCTATGAAGGTGTGGAGTGTGTTTGTCTTCATGGCCAGTGAAAGCCATTATGATTGTTGAATAATTCAGTTGCATCTGAAGTTGGAGCTAAAAGTGAATTTCAAAACCCATTTTCGAAGTAGAGTACCAGTACATTCTTTCTGTGATAATAAGATGATGTGTTGTGTTCATTTGAAGTCTCAGAATTTTTTGGTGAGTTGGCTATTGTTTTGGTAAAATCTAAGAACAGGCTAGTGTCTTTTAAAAGTAATAATTTTATTGTCAATGCTAAATAAATGAACCTTGTCAACAGAATTTGTCTTTGCTCAATTACAAGTAGGTAGAATGGGTTGCAATGCAAAATGTGGATTTTACTGTGAGTTGCAGTGAAAAAAAAAATGTTTGAAAAATGCTGCTCCAGATCATAAATTTTTGTTTTTGTTGTATAGGATAAATTCAGATTGGAACAAATTAAATCTTTTCAACATAATTCCTTTCCTTTCTTGGTACCAATAGTTTAAAAGAATAAAAATAGGAATTAAATCTTCAGAATCCTTTCTTGCATACGTAATAAATTACATTGCAAATTCCTAATTTTTAACTAAAAATGTGGTTTTTGCTTAATGTATAATATAATGGTTTTAAATGAAAAATCACCTTTTGTTTCATCTTCACATCAAAGGTATTACTACTATTTGGTTGATGATTGGACTTGGTTCTTAGTTAAATTTAAGACCTAGGTATCAATCACACAATCACACACAAAATGTGAGATCATTTGTGTTCATTATATAATTTAAATTAACCTTGATAGTAATAAAATTGATTTACTTTGCTATTATTCACTTTTTAATTACTTCACTTCTTGATGTCAGTTTGGTTAACTGATGCCGTAAAATCAACACAACTTGGAGCTTGAACACATAACTGCCCTTAAAATTCAAATTTAACTTAAAATCTACTTTTATAATAGCGTTTTATATTTACTTTGTGACTAAAGTAAATTCACTTCAGCTGTTATCTGTATATTTGGGGTATACATTATATGTTCATATTTTTATTTTTTCTCTCTTCAGAATCTGACCATGTGATAGTGTGTATTTGGGTTTTGTCTGACAACGACGACCGTCAAAAGTATTCAGTGAAGGTCCCTCACACAGCCACTCCTCAGCTGGTTATAGCCGAGGCCATTCGCAGACGTACACGCAGTATGAAACTTACTGCTGACCAACAACAAATGTGCATTAGACAATTCAGTAACATCTATGTCCTTAAAGTATGTGGCTGTAACCAATACTTGTTAGAGGAACACCCACTTAGTCAATATAAAGTAAGTTTTTATACAGATTTCTGGATTGTATTTTGATCTTATCTGTGCATTGGGTCTGATTTAGTATTATTTATCCTATTTATCATCATAGTTTCTTAAGAGATCTGGTGTTTCTGTCTGGTCATGCTGTCTTGGATGGGTGCAGGACAACTCTACACTACTGACTGAACACCAGGACAATTCTGGACTGAGACAACACAAAAAAAAAAAAGTTTTCTATAACCAAATAAAAATAATTTATTAAGGATTAAAACCTTAATTAGTCTATATTTTTCTTTTAAATAAGGCATTTGAAAAGCATTATGTAAAATATGAACCAATTTTTCGTTTTTAATTATTTTTAATATAGTAAATCATAAAGAAATTGAGTTGTCCCTTACCAGTCTTCGATGGCCTGCCTGGTTGAGCTGCCTTGGATTGTCAGATGCAGCATATATTTTAGGCAGAGAAAGAATACAGCTTTGAATAAATTTAAATGACTTCTACTGGTTGCCTTTCATTACCTTATCAATAAAGCAGCTATCATAGTAAAACAAGATCCCAAAGATAAGGCATGTTAGTTCAACCAGGAGCAATCTATGTTGCATATATAATAATTGAATGAGGATTGTGACATTTACAATAAAAAAAAAAAATATTTGACAAAATTCAAATGAATTCTTTAACATCTTTGTCAGAGTTGTTTTTTTTTTCTAAGCATTTCTTTTGAAAAAATTTTCTTTCAAAATATTTAAGAATACACCTTTAGATGTTATGTCCCTCCAATTTTATACATTGAAATTCGTTTTATTCTCTCCAAATTTTAAAGTAAATTTGGATTACAGGTAAAGTGTAGTGACTCAAATTCATTATTTGGACTGATTTTATAAAAAATATTCTTAAACCATATTTACAACATTTTAAAAACTAGTAAAGCAATAATTCATAATATTCAAGAATTCATGTTTGACATTAATGTTTTTCCTTTTAAGTGATTTTTTTTTTTTTGTATTTTAAGAACTATTTTTTAATGTTTGATTCTAAATTCTTGGATCTGACTCAAATCTTCTTGTAGTACATTCGTGAATGCATAGCAAGAGAAAAAATCCCACAACTAATGTTACAAGCAAAAGAAGCCGTTTATACAGCAATACCTGAAAATATATTCCGAATGCCAACATATGTACAGAAGGGTTAGTCAACTTCATTTTCTTTTTTCTTTAAGCTGTTTTTGTGGTAAAGATGAATGCCTCTTTTGTAAGTAAGTTGGCAATAGCACAACATCATTGCCTTCATACATAAATGCTTTTAGGAAGAGAAGACCCAAAGCATCTTTTTTCTCTGCCCTTTTTCAGCTTCCTTTTAGAATCTGAAGACTTTAAATTGTTCTGATATTTGAAACCGTATAAAGATCAATTGAAAATCTTGTTTGACAATGCATAACTATTACATAGGACATGTGCCATTACATAATCATTACATATTACATGTGCCATTAATTCAGAATATGTATATACTTTTTTTAAAGGCCAAGATAAGCAAAAGATTTTAATGTTGCATTGAGTGAATTAATAAAATTAATTTTTGAATGATGTTCTTTAGCTCATCTTGAGATATTTCTCCATTAAAATGAATATTTTGGCAACCCACATTCTGCAGGATCTATCTTAGCAAAAGGTACATATTAATCTCTTGTATTTTTGAAACATGATTAACTTTTTAATTTTAGAGACAAGTTTCTGCTATTGGCTTTTCTGTCAATTCTGCTGCAAAATGTGTAGGAAGCAACTTTGTCATTTCAAATTTCATGTATGCTTTTTTTTTTTTTTTTTTTTTTGAGCATTTATGAATTGCTCTTTTCCATTCAGTTGTAGTGATTAAGTTTTCTTTTTTTATGCTTCAGGTGTCCAGGCTTTGAGAGATATTGACAAACAAGAAACTATCCCAATTTGGACCATCAACACCAAACTTCGAATTAAAATCAACAGTGCAGCATATGTCAATGTTAAATTTTGAGAAGGAAATTAATTTGGATTTTGTTTTTGAAAAAAAAAAAAATTTAAAACCACCAAACACACTGCAAGAAAACATTTCAGTTTAGCAAAATTCCAAAGCATGTGAAGGTAATGTACTTGAATAGCAGCAGCTCTGAATTAGAAATCAGAGAGCTGTTCAAATTCCACTCAAGTTTATTACATTCACTTATGTGCAAATACCCTCTGGAAAGGTAGGAATCCATCTCTTCCTCCATCTTTGGGTTAAATAGTAGGACTTAAATCTGGAAAAAAATATTGTTAAAAAAACTGTTATGGCAATATTCACTCACAAACAAAAACAAATTCTTACACTCTAAATGTTTTGGCTTTAAATAATCAACAAATGTTTGTTTCAATTTTTACAGCTTATCAAATTGAGCAGTTTCATATATAAGTAATTTTTTTCTTTTTAAAAACATGCTTATTGTTTGCTTTTTGTAGTGTTTTGGCCATTGTACTCTTTGGCATTCTTCAGGTATTGGTCTTTTTCTCAGAGACCTTGAAATTTCAAACTTAACCCTTTATTAATTTGGAAATTGAACTGGAAATTGCTTCATTCAAGTTAAAATGTTTTAATAATTTATGCTAAGGAAAAAATATCAGTACTGTTTGCACACTTGAAAACAAATTGGATCTATTAAAATGGTTTGTGACTGCAAGGTTTGGAATTGTTTAAAAGAGAAATGAAAAGACAAAATACATATTTTTTGGAAGCTTTTATCAACAGTTATTGCAAGAGTTTTTTGTTGTTGGGCAATAAAACTTTTCAATGGGATGACAATTCTTTATTGGTTCATAAATTCCCCAATGGAATGGTTGATCTGATTTTAGTCTTTCATTTTCATGGTTGATATTTTTTTTTCATTTCAACCCAGCCAATGTGCTAAGACATGAAGGGTTACTGAATATGAAAATAAAAAAATACATTAAAGAGATAGAACATAAAGAACAAATTACTCATGAAAATTGAGATTTATTTGAGGATCAAAGTTGAAAAGGAACAGGAAGCTACATTAAGTGAAAAGGGTGGAAAGAAATTGACTGAAACTTACGATGCCAGGTTTCAGGACCAATAACCTATTGCAGATTCTTAAATTTATTTTATCAAGAATCTCTAAAATATATAGCAGGAAAGCACCAGACCAGATGTGGCAGCAATATTCAAAACATTGCAAAGTCTTCTTTGATGAATGGTAAATAGATAAATATGTAAGATAGATTCTGGTGATTCAAAAACAGGAAAATTGTCTAGCAATATGACACAAATGAACCAATATTTTCCTAGCAGCAGACCTAGCAATTGATTCAATATAATCTTTTCCACTTCATGTCAGTGAAAAACATTAGTCCTGAGAAGGCACAATGAAAGTTACTCTCCTGGAGGTTAGCATCAGCCATGCTGATGGAAGGCAAAAAAAGGTTCTCTCAGATGATTAAAAGAGAGCAGTTTTGTTTTTGAGGCATTAAAATTAACAAGTCATTCCTTGCCCCAGTTAACAACAGATTGTAGGTCTTTTTTTTTTTTTTTTTTTTTTTTTTTAGATCAGCTGCCAATTTGACCTTATTGAACCAATCAGACTTACTATTAAGACAGGAGTAAATAGTTGTATCATCAGCATAGATACCAAGTTGAGAACTGATGACATCAGGAAGGTCATTGATGAAAATTAGAAACAACATAGGTCCAAGGATAGAGCCCTGGTGGACACCTGCATTAATGCAAAAAAAATCTACAAGACAACTTTCATTTCGTGATTTGATAAGAAAGATTGAATCAGTTCAAAAATTCGTCCAAAAATACCATAACCTTTCAACTTGTGAAGAAGACCAGCATGCCAAACCCTGTCAAATGCCTTCAGGACATCCAAAGAAATGCTACTCTTATCTAAAGTTTGATACACTCCACTATAATTCTTAATACATCAAGTTGACCTAGAGAAGCAAAAGCCATATTGCTTGTCTGAAAGAAGAGCCCAAGAAGTGAGATGCTTACTCAGTTCAGCTGATTAGAGCCTCAAGTACTTTGCCAAAAAGAGGTAGAAGGCTGGTAGTTAGAAGGATCAGACAATTTACCTGAGTTCTTAAAGACTGGAACTACAGAAGAGGATTTCCAACAAACAGGGAAGCAAGAAGCAGAAAGTCATTTATTATAGAGCATAGAGAGAACAGGAATCAGTTCAAGAGCACATTTTTTAAGAACTATGGCAGGCATGCCATCAAGTCCACATGTTTTGTGAGGATCCAGTTTAGTGATGATAGCAGAAACCATGGATGAAGTTATATGCATATTACTCAATAGAGACTCGGTTCTAAATGAAAAGTCAGGCAAAGATACTCCAGATGAGTCAAGAGTAGAAGTTGAAGAGAATTTACAAGCAAAATATTCTGCTGAAGACTTTAACACCTCAAATTGAGTGACTAGAGGATGTATAAAAGACTTACTCTTATTTAATGCACTAATACAGAGCTGCCAATAGACATGAGAAACAAACTTATTAGATTCTATATAATGAATATTCTATAAGCAAATAATTACAATTATTACAAGCAGACACAAAAAGACCTGATGCTAAAGCCCAAAAAAGTGATTCCTGTGGGCTATAGCAGCTGAACAGGCAGGTGTAAACCAAGGAGAAGATTATGGTCTTACCTGGTATATCCAAGAAGGTACCAAAGCATTAATGCCAGCTTTAACCCAAGAAAAACACTTGAGGCATGATTCTCAATAGGATGGTTAAAAATGTCAAGTCTTGAAGAAAGTCACAAAATAAATCCCAATCAGTATGTGAGTAATAGAAAGTGGTCTTGTGAATAGGAGGTTCCTGTCTGAAAAGAAATATCAACAGATACATTGGTATGATCCAATTTGCTAAGAGAACAGTTTTAATGCTTGAAAAGATCTAGGAGGAGGTAAGGAGCAAATCAAAAAGCATGTTAATCAGAATTATATGAGGGAGGGACTATTAGAGAAAACTTCTATTTGGCTAAGAGACTGAGCAGCAGAAAAATTGAAAATCTGAATATTAGTAATATCAGTAACATTTATAGTTGTATCATTTCTGCTATTCTTAACAAGTTAATATTTCTTTATATCAGATCCTGTATGAGGGTCAAGCCTTTAAGCAGACTTTTTTTCTTTTTTTTCTTTGTTGTTATCTTTTTTTCTTTGTTGTCATCTCGTCCCCCCACCTTTCTTGTTTTGTTTTTGTTTTTGTTTTTTCTCTCACCATTACCACTACTCTCAAGATTTTTTTTTTTTTTTTTTTTTTTTTTTTATTTTGGGGGCCATTTTAATTTAAAACCTAATTTTTATCTGTTTAGATTTATGTGAAAACAGGACTTTACCATGGTACAGAACTGCTTTGTCCAACCAAAGAGACTGAATGTGTTAATGTCTCTAAATCCTTAAATTGGAACCAATGGTTTTTGTTTTTGATATCCTTGTGTCAGAGATACCAATTTAACATGAATTCGACTATGTTTATCAATATGTTCAGTTGCAAAGAGAAGAAAGACAAAGGTAGTATTTATTTTAATTTTTTGCATCCATCTTGCTTATACTATTTCTGAAAATATCTTGTCATAACTAACAAAATTGAATGTGAATTCTGGAGTGCGATAATCATCTAATACGTTAGAACTTGAGAAAATTATTTTTTTAATCTCACCATTCAAGTTTGTTTTTCTTTCTTTTAATAACATCTAAAGTAAAGTTTAAAATTTAAATGTTTTTATGGACACAAGGTAAATTCAAGGTAAAGCAGTAGCAACTATATGGTTTATCCACTAAGAGGAAATATCTTGGCCTTTCCATGTGTGGGTGGGAGGTCATTTTAATATCTATGGTAGGGAGCATACTAGTTTCTCAATAATTAAGTGGTTGACATGCCACTTTATCCAACAAATCTGACAATGTGGATAAGCTTCTCACAATCGTACCAATCCGAGGTGAATGGAAACAAATGTCTAGAAAAAAAGACAAAGTAATGCTAACTTAAATACACATAGGTCATACATACCTCACTCATTCATACTTGCTGAAGAATAAAAATCAACCCACATGTAGAACATGGGGAAACACATTTTAACTGAATGATAAATACTACAAGGAAAATAAAATGAGAAAACTATTTGAAAATACTGAAACCATCAACATAATGTCCTACCTTAAAGAAATAGGTTTATACTAAAACATATAACACCTACAATAGATTATCTACAAACATATATATATGTATGTACATTTATTTATTTATTTATTTTTTTTCAAAAACCAAAAAAAAACCTTTACCCTGAAAGTATAAAATAGAGGTTTCACTGCAGTGTCAATTGTTATTTTCTTTCTTTTTTAATTCCTGTTTCTTTTATTGTTTTCTTTCCTAAATAATTTTTTTCTTCATATTCTTGCACTTTAGTGGCTTTATTGCCTTGTGTGAAATGATTTATTTTTTCTTTTTCCCTTTGTTTTGGTTAATCACTGATGCCAGTGTCTTGGCATTAATAGTGAGAAAGATGGAACAAAAGGTTGGTTTACACTGCAAGTTTTCAACCATGAAGCCCATGTGGAAATGAAAGTAAGAAATGGCCAAACAGTGAAGACAAACAACTGCATGGACACAGTTTTGATTTGACTGTAAGAAAAACTCTTGTCTGGACTGCATGTCACACATTGGAAAAGGTATACAGATCCCAACTACCTACATTAAAAATCTGATTGATTGTTGCAACAGTGGAATCCATCTTGGTCTATGGAGTAGAGATGTGAACTAAATCTCTGAAGAAATGGATAGATGGGTGTTATGCAAGAATGCTAAGGATGGCACTTCCTGAAGAAGTTACACATCAAATAATGTAACACCAAAGGTGCAGCAGATAATGATGCACATTTAGCTGGACACTTTATCTGGTATGATGAAGTTACTAATAAATTTCTAATCTAACAGACAAGGAAGAAAACAACTCACATTTGTAATACATACTGCTAGAGGACTCTGGGATGAAGACAACACAAGCTAAAGACCATCATGTTAGACTGTGCTGATTGGAAGAAGCATGTGGATACTATTGGATGTATCAATGGATGATTTAATCTAGTCTAATGATGAGATGTTTTGTAGAAGTTAAAATCATTTTCTGATTGATTTTCTACTGAGACATTTTCTCAGTTTTCTGATCATAATTATTGATTCCTCATATTAAGTAGAGTTGTTAGTTGGCTAATTATTGGATATTAAGTCTCTTGTTAAACATTTTCTTAGTAATTATAAGTTAGCAGTAATTTAGGACTAGCTTCTTTTTGAGAAAACTGTAAATTTATTTGATCATTACTTATGATGCCAAAGTTTGCTATATTTCAAAACAATTACAAATGAGAAAGGATTTAGCAAAATATTACAAGTGCAATTTACAGTGTTTTAAAAATTTCATTGGATTTAATTTTTTTTTTTTTTCAATTCAGGAAGAAATTACTGTGAAAGGAAAGGATGGAATAAAAAAAAAAAAATTAGAAAAAAGGTAAAATTTTTGATAAAATTTATTTTATTTTTTTAATTTTAAAACTTTGTATTAAGAAATTGTTATTGTTATTGTGACTCTTATACATTTAAAAAAATAGTGTTTACATTAAATCCTTCATAGTTTTGTGCAAATGCACAAAACTGCATCTTAGTGCTGAAAGGTCAGGTTGCAGAGAGGAGTTTGCTTATCCTCACAAACTTCAGTCACAAAATACAAGCAATTACTAACCCCAGACATATAAGCCTACAATTATCATTCATCTGAATGCAGCCCTGAAACATCAGCTAGGTGTTGAATAGAAACATGCCACATGTTGAGAGCATGGTTTAAAAAAACAAAAATATGCTTATAAATTTATGTTTCTGATGTGAATAGGTATAACATTGTGCTAAACTATTGAAAATCTAATTAATAATCACAAATATTTAATAATAGGTCCAAAATGTGATAATTTGTTATGACAGAAAAATGACACCATAGAATTGGCTATTTGAATTTTCTGGTGTGGTAAGCAATTAAATACTCTTTTTTTTCTTTTTTGCTTCCAAAAGATACCTAGCTAATTATAGGGTGTGTCTTACCACTTGTAGCATCATGGTAAATATATTAAGAAACAAAAATGCTAATGTCCATAATAAGATTAGAAAATTTTAGTTCAGATGAAGTTTGTTGTTTAACTGCAAGATTAGTTTGATATTTGTCAATGTTTAAATCTTAAGTTAAATAGATTAAGAAATTTGCTTTTATTTTAGGCTGTTTCTTGCCTGGTATTTTATTCATTATCTAAATTCACAACATAAATATTGTATTTATTATAATAAGTTTAAATTGCTGTAAGTATCAAATCAATGAAAGACCAAATTACAAGACATACAGTGAAAGCTTGTTGATTTTTCTCTATTTCTCAGATATTCTCCATTGAACTGTGATAACTATGACTAATTTAAAACCTTTTTTTTTTTTTTTTTTTTTTTTTTAGTTTGACTATGCTCTTGCTTGGGGCAATTTACAGATGTTTGATTTCAATCATCGATTACTCAGTGATAAAGGTAGAATTCATTTATGGCCAATGCCTCAAGGAATGGATGATCTACTGAACCCCATTGGAATTCCAGGTTGGTAATTCTTGGTTTCTTTTATTTAATGAAATCTTGGCTTTTTTTGGTACAAGTATTTCTTGAAGTCTGAAAGAGTTATTTATTTTGATATTTGTAATTTATTTCTATATTGTGTTTCATTTGTGTTTTTACTGTATTGTCTTTATAAGACTGTCCAAGTTACTTGACAATTCATCTGAAACAATCGGTGTCACATTAACTCTAAATTAACTATGTTGTTTTCCTGCTATTTTTCCTCTAAATCAGGGGTTGGCAACCTTTTGGAGAGAGCAGGATCGGACAGCTATGCAGTGTCTCAGAAGGGGCATGCTATCAAATGTACTAAAAATAAATTGTCTTGCTCTCAGACTGCTCCATCCAGAAGGTTGCCTCAGCCTGGAGGTTTAAAGAAAAAACAAAGTTAATGTTATTTTATTTAAACAAGGTTCCTTACTTTTAATGCATGAATAACAGGACAACACAATCAACAAAAATGCAAATTCCTTACTACAAATGTAATACAGTTAGCAATGGCAAATTATTTAATGAGACATTTTTTTATTGTTCAATAACTTCTCCACATCAGGTAAAATATTTGTTGATGACAGGAGTAAAACCTCAACCAGGTGATCATCACAAAGAAACCTTGTTCTTAAATGACTTTTAGCATATTTCATTGTCTATATTTCTGAGATGGGGTATTATGTACATTATTTATATTATTTGGAATATTGTCCTCATCTTTGTCGCCATATTTATTACGTTTCGGCTGTTGTACATTTCGGCCTTCTTCAGGTGGTTGGAATGTCAAACTTGACCCTTTATTTCACTCACTGGGGTAGCCTGTTCTAGTTCCACGTGCCATGTTTAATGGATGTCAGTTATCTCCTGTTAATTTCCCTCTGAAAGTTCTCCACTGCCTTAACCGGGTATTGAACTCATACTCTTTTGGGTCCTGTCACTGGATCTAACCAACGTATCCATGAGGACATCTGTGTATGAATTTCTGGGTATTATAAACCTAATGTCTTCAGCAACCATTTTTTACCAGTGCTCATATTGCAATTTTTTTTGCTGTTATCATTGCATGTTTTTTTTTTACCAGAGCTCATATTGCAATTTTTTGTTATTATTATTGCTTTTCTCTGGCACTCCTTATTACTGGTTCCCATATTGTATTCATTTCTATGCTTGGTCAGCTCAGGAGATTTTTGTGGCCTAGCATATGTGCTGATTCCTTAAGTTTACGAATTTTCCAATGGTGTTCTTTGTCTATGATCTCAACCTGATCCCACAGAGGGTGGTGATCTCCCTTTCTCTCTCCATACGTGGTCAGCCACGCCTGATTTTTCCACTCCCCCTCGTGTTACAGCTTTCTGAAGTTCTTGAAGCCTTACCTTAAGAGGGCGGCCTGTCTCCCCTTTATATTTCTTTCCATAGCTGCACGGGATAGCGTACACACAGTCTTTAGTCATGTTCTCCTCTATGGGGGGGTCTTTTGAAGGTTGTCCTGATGTTATATGGACCGCAGATCCTTTGTATTGTCTCAGATAACCCCTTCACATAAGACAGACAGACTGTTTTTTGAGTGTTGTTGTCCTCCTCCTCTTGTATCCGCCTATCCCAGTTTTGGGGGGCTGCTGCCATGTACCCAGGGTAGTTTACTACTTATACTGACCAATTCTTTATCTAATATCTCTGGGTCGCCACTTATGACTTTTGCTCGGTGTTGTAAGCAGCGGACGATCCCTTTCTTTACGCTGTATGGATGGTGGGAGTTGAAATTGAGGTACTGTCCGATGAATGTCGGTTTACAATATATGGATGTCTTGAACCCTTGCTCTGTTTGAGATATTAGAACATCCAGGAATGGGAGTGTGTTGTTACCCTCTTTCTCCATTGTGAACTGTATCGAAGGTCTTATTGAGTTCACATGGTCCAGTAGAACCTGAACATCTTCCTGGTGTGGCCAGAGTATGAAGGTGTCATCTACATACCTTAACCATATAGTTGGCTTTAGAGATATAGATTCTAATGCCATTTCCTCAAAGTATTCCATGTATATATTTGCCATTGCTGGTGATAATGATGAGCTCATTGCTAAGCCCTCATCCTGTCAATATATGTGTGATCCCATTTCGAAGTGTGTTGTTTGAAAGTCAACATCTCCATCAGATTATTTATTGGAATACTGGTCCATTCTTCTAGGGATGAGTCAGAGGCCAATCTGTCTTTGACTACTGAGAGTGCCTCCTCCGTGAGTACCTTGGAGAACACTCACCACGTCCAAGCTCACCATCTGGTTGGATAGGATGGGAGCATCTTTGATTATTTCATTAATGGGCGGAGTTTTCGGATTTATATGAAGGAATCTTTCCGATCAATGGGTCAATTATATCTACAAAAAAACCACTCAGAGGGTGGCACACAGAATGACAAGAACTAACAATTGGCCTGAGCGGAATACCGTCTTTGTGAATCTTAGGGTGACCATTTATATCTGAGGTAGCTTGGTGTAACATGATATAATTGCCTATATCGTAAAAAGGTGAAAGTGATCCTTGTTCTTGATTAGTATCTAAAACAGTTTGCATTCTGTTTTCATTGTAGGATCCTTTTTTTACTTTGCTGTAACTACCATTGCTAATGAGGTCTTCTAGCAGTAGATTCAGAATTAAATTTTGATTTCAAAAATTCATCACGTAAGTTGGATTAACTCCAACTGATAATTTTTTTTTTTTTTTTTTCCCACTTGCTACACCAATTAATTATATAATTAGTGTCCAGGTATTATCTGGCAGGCTGGATGTTGGAGGCTGCCCACCCCTGACCTAAATAGTAAAATCCTTGATTTGTTTAATTGCTATCTTCTTATTGTTTTTTTAATTTGTTCTTTCAAAAGTGTTACTGATTTTCCATTCCACACCTTCATTATTTTGTTTATGAAACTATTTGGTTGACACTCGTTTCATTCCCAAACACCCACTGATTTTTTTTTTACTTTGTTTCTTTTTACAGGTTCAAATCCAAACCAAGATTGCCCCTGTTTGGACATCGAATTTGATAAATTTTCACATTCTGTAACATTTGATATGGAAAAATTTGATGAATACTGCAGGCGGAATTCCCAAGATGGTTACACTCAGGACAGCTATGTAGAGGTGAATATCAACCTTTTGAAATTTTTAAGTATTAGTTGCATTGTGTTGTGGTTGAGATATTTTTCTGTTAATGAAAATCTATTTCACTGTGATAAAGACGGTGCCCTCCCCCAATATGCTTTGGATTTCTGTGTAGTGATCCAGTCGCATACATTTGCTTGTAATTTTTCCAAATTGCTTTTTGTTTTTTCTATAAAATACAAACACCTTAGGTATTTAGGTTTATGTCCAGTACAGTAGACTGAGGTGGGATTCTGCTAATTTTTAGATTTAACCTATTATGTTAATACAGATTGTGGCAGAAATACCTCCCACGTAATGGCATTAGCTAGATAAAAACACCATTGCTACTAATGTCTTACCTTTATGTGGGAGATATTTCTGCTACAATCTCTATTAACCATTTCCTACAAGGAAACATTTAGCATTCATTGATTGAGCAGCCAGGAATAGAGGTTTCTCAAGTCTAATAAATGGAAAGTCAACATCTTGATTATGTCATTATTTTCTCTTCACATTACATGTAATATTCATTTTAGCTCTTGCAAGTCTTCAAGTGATGTGTTTTCTGTTATTTGCTAAAGTTTTTTGTGATTCTGTAGTGCCAGTCCATAAGGTTCAAAGAAGGATGCTTTTCATCAAAGTTTCACTTGCTCAAAGTCATTTTAACCATTGATTTTAGAAAATGGTTATATACAGCTGATAGTTTAGATATTTCAAAATGGGTTTGGCACCATGCATGACATACATATGAAAGTCTCAATCTAACAAGGCTATTTAAGAATGTAACTAAAGTTTTTAGGTTAATGTTGTGATTGCAGTCAAGTATTGGTACTTGATTCTTTTAGCTATATTCACTCAAACAAACAGTCACACACAGATGAATGACTGTTCATTAGGTACCTCCAAAAAATTCGGTATACCCAAGGTTTAAGTGTATTTTTCATAAATAAAAAATCGTATTTGAAGCTTTCCCACAGTTTCAATTGAAAGCTAAAAAGATTAAATTTTCTAATTCCAGAAAAAAAAACACTGTTTGTATTTCAACTAGAAATTATAATGATTTTTAAATCGATTCTTCTGAAAAAAAAATTTAAACGGCCATGTTTAATTTTTTTTAGAAATGTAAACAAAAATAATTTTGTTTAAAAAAACCCGCCTAAAATAACATATCGATTTTGAAAAACATTACTTTCGTAAAATTAGCAAATTTAAAGTTTAATTAATCTGTTTTAAAACAAAAACATCACTTACTTACAAATAATGAAATTTTCTAGACAAGTATTCCTTCACCACGGAGTCTTGGCTTTTCTCAAGTCTCCATCGATAATTTGATGGCCGCATGTGTTGACAGCTTTAAATGGTGGACCAGAGCTGATAAATAATTTTTTTTATCTAAGTAAGAATGGTTTCTTTGTTTTTTTTTTTTTTTTTACTAATGTAATGTTTAAAATTTAAAATAATTTAAGCAATTATCTAATATATTACTGATTTTTTAAACTGTAATTTTGAAGATGCTTTCTTATAATAATTTAAAATAAAATACTATAAAAATTTTTAAAATTGTGTAATAAGATAATGGTAGATAATTATGATAAATAATTTTATTAATTACTATATTATTCATTAATACATTTTAATTAAATAACAGATGTAATATTAATTATATTAACTACAAATTATATTAATATTTCTTAAAAAATTAATAATAATTAATAAAAATTATTAATTATTATAACTTCTATCTCACTCAGTTATTACATTTTTACAACTGAAATATAATTTTTTTAATATTATTTCAATAATTCATCCACTAATTTAATAACTGAGTTATAATTAACAAAAATAATTATCTGTTATCATTTATGATAGAGATAACACTACTTTAATATTTATATTTTTAAGATCCTATTTTTTTCATTTTATTCTTTATTATAATTTGATGTTTATGAATTGTTAAAAATTTTTTATTTATTAAATTTTTAAAGTACTTAAATTAGTATTTTAGCTGTAAATGACAATTTTCCAAAAATAATGTTTCATAAAAATATTGCAATTTGAAAATTAAAGGAAAAAAAAAAAATTGCAATATTTTTTTTTTATTGCTTTTACTGAAAAACCCCTATGCCAATTACTAATTTCTGTAACACTAACCAGATTTGGCTTACTGGAAATTGGAAATATTAAATAAAATTTATTGTAGCCTTCATTTCTTTCAATTAAAGTTAAAAAAAAAAAAAAAAAATACTTCAAGAAAGATTTTTAATTTTTGTTTTTTAAATTCATTAAAAAAAAAAAAAAAAAGCAGGAAAAAAATAAGCTTAGGTATCAGGAATTAGTGGAGACCACAATTAAATTGAGAAAAAAAAAAAAATTTTTAAATGAAAAGAAAATGCTTTAAAATAAGGAAATTAAACATTAGGTTTTTTTAAAAAATAAGGGTTGCATTTCAACTTGAAAGGCAACCCTTTTTTTTTAAAAAAAATTGTTTGAAAGTTTCAACCATTTTTTTTTTTTTTTTATAAAAAATAAAATTCACAAATAAGAAAAGAAACTTAAAAATAAATAACAAAATTAGGCCTAAATTATTTTCTTAACTAAAAAAATAAATTACTTGATGTATGACACGGACTAAAAAATAAAAAAAAATACATGCATAGCAAAACTGAAATTTAAAATTTAAATTAAAAAAAAAAACTTTTTAAATCTTGAAGGGATGATTTCCAAACAAGCCTGTTGATGAGTGTTGAAGCGTAGGGTTGATGAAACACGGAAGTGAAATGAATGACAATTGCCGGCAATTGACCAGTTATATGTCAAGGGGCTATCTCCTAGGGGGAGAGAAGCCGTGAAACACGTGACCTTTTAACTGTAATATCACTTGCGAGATACCATACCAAGAAAAAAATCAAACATCTTAACGGACAAAAAAAATAAATTTTATTATGGTAAAAAGTTTTGGCAGGGTTATTTATATTAAGCTTTTAAGTTTCGCTTAGTAAATATAGTCTTCACTTAAAAAAACTAATAACCCACCAAATTATTATTATGAAAGAATTTAAAAAACATTTTTAAAATTAAAGAAAAAAATGAAAAAAATAAACGAAAAATGCAAACAATTGTTGTAAAAATTCTTTATTCATCGAAATTTTTTTTTCTTCAGATAATAATGTCCTTAATGGATATTATTTATAAAAACAAATAAAACTATCTAATTTGATAATTAGATAGTTTATTGCAGTTTTATTTTTACGATTTGGAGCAGATTTTTATAAAGTTGGCATTAGTTGTGAAAAAAAAATTGGTTATTTAATTTCTCCAAGGAGTCCTGCATATACGAAAAAAAAAAAATTTGCAAATTTTTTTTGAAATTCTATAATATTTCATACAATTAATTTTGGGTGGGGAATATGTAAAAAAAAAAATATTTTTACCAAGATTTTCTAAATAAAAATTTCAAAAATAAATTCATTCCTTTTTGAATAAGTTCTGAAAGTTTCATTTAAATTAGACAATTATTTGACTTTTGCAATAATTTCCAAAATTAATGGGTTCTCCCCCGAGATTGCTACACTAAAAATGGCGATGACCACAAGTCGTACAGTTTTAACACAAAAAAACGAGATATTTGACCCAAATTTAAAACTTGTTCGAAGGAAGAGAAAAATTTTTAAAAATATTTAAAAAATACTTCGTTCTTCCCTCTTAAGAATAACAAAAATTTTAATGATGAAACTTTGTTTTTATTAAGTTTCGGACCTGTTACATTATGATATATGATTTTTAGCGAATAGTTGGAGGTACCTACTGTTCATTAATAGTTAGGCAAGGGACTCAACTGTTTGATGACCCCTTTATCATTTATGTCAGCCTAGCAGTTCATTTACCAACTGTATTGGGGTTACTCCTTCTCTTTTAGCAATTATGATGTGCAGAAATATAACTGAAGTTTAAAAGCTAAATGAAATGTCTTGATATAGCTTTTTATATTATTTTAATTGGGTATTGGGGGGCCTTTTCACGTTTATGATTCTATGAGGAAGGAATATTTGTGGGGGGGAAAAATATTGGCCTGATCATTTTTAACATCTGTATCATGATTGGACCAGGTTATTGTTGGTAATTAAAAAAACATTTTGATTGAAAATTTGGATTATGATTCCTTAATCTATTGATTAACAAACACCACAATCTTTATGGCTGGCAAAGATCTCTAACAATTCTGCCCCATGACTAACTAGAACTATGAGTTTTCTTAATCTATTCATTAATACTTTTACCACAGTGGATGTACTTAATGGCTTTACAAAACTTATGTTACCTGCTGTTCGCATGCACACACACACATATATATAAGACCCTGTGAAATGGCAGTCACAACTGTTTGCTGCTATTTTCAAACCAGCATAGACAAATAGTAGTGTACAATATGATTTGTTTTGTGGTTGTATTTTTATTTTGTATGTTGGAACTGTTGTTTAACTTAGTTTATCTTTCAGTCTCCTGTCAAAACCAAAATGATGGCACCCATGAGAAAGTGCCATCAGTCTCATTTATTTCCAGTAAATGTCAATTTCCTATTTTTCTCCAAATGGGCTAGCACAGCCAACCTACAATTCTATAATACAATAGTGAAAGTGTTAATAAACTCTTTACAGCAAAGGTGTGCTAGCAGCAAATACATCTTTAGGATTATTTAATAACAATGAACTTATAAATTATCTTTTGACATTCAGTACATTGACTTTTCTCTCCTGACTGAATCACACCCTTTACCCATGTCTACTTGTTAAACTGGGTTATTATTATTACTTAGCAGCATAGAACCTTACCACCTACTATCTAAATAATAGAGGAGAGAAATTATAGATAATGTATTAAATTGGTTATCTAATTCTAACAAATTTTTAATTTTGGCAGATATTCTTTGCATATTTTTAATGACAAATTTTTTATTTATTTATTTTTTTATTATAAACTGCAGCATAGACCACCTGATGAGAAACAGATGAAGCAATTAGAGGAGTTAGTCAGTCGTGACCCTCTCTCAGAATTGTCGGAACAAGAGAAGGACTTTGTTTGGAAGCTCCGGTTAGTTAAACGTTTTTATTGCATATAATTTTTTTTTCTTTACCTAAGTTATTTGAGAGCCATGAAAATTTCACAATTATTGCCAAATATCAAATTTTATATATATCTCCCACAAAAAAAGTGTTTTTTATATATATATATATATATATATATATATATATATAGCATTTTTTTTTATGTGGGATATTAAAGTGTAAAACATTAAACATTTTTTTACTCTGTAACAAAGTTTTAATTTAACAGATAAAATAAGGATAAATAGGAAAGTAAAACTTTGAAATATATATCAGATTTTTCCATCTACCTTCAGGGAATGAGACCTGTGGGTGTAAAGTAAGATTTTATAAATTCTTCTGATAATCTTTAATGATTATGGGAAGATGAGAATTGAAGACCATACTCCATTTGATATTCAATTTTAAAAAAATAGTTTAATTTTTGTAGATATTGATAAGTGGAATTCAAATGAATTGTCTATGCTAGGTAAACCCTGAATACAGTGGCTCATTATTTAGATATAAACTTATGTTCTACCAATTACTGGATGTGCAGGTGGTGTAATAGATTCCTGTCGAGTTTGTTACATTCACTTACATACAAATGACTTTAAGGTATGAATCCATCTCATAACCTCCAGCAATAGATTAAATAATAAGACCTGTATCTGGAAAAACCATTACCTCCAAAAATTTGTTAATGCAATATTCTTACAATCCAAAATGCTTTGTCTTTAACCATTACCACTCTGTAGGTGTCTATTTTCACCAAGCAAAATGATAGTCCTGCTAATGCAAGTTGAATTTGAATTTCTTGGTTGTGTAGTCACATCCTTATATGGCAACACCTAAAACAATCTTGAGTGAAATTGAGAGGTAGGCTGCTGCAATTTTAAATATACAGAACTAATATATAAAACCCTATATTTTGAGGGGATTCCATGTCCAGTAAACAGGGGAAGTAATATTTATAAATGAAAAAAAAAAAAAATTACATTTACTACGAAATAACTTTTATCAGCGACATAATGTTCTTGAATTTTGAGTGAAAACTTCCCATCCAAAGTTTTGTCTGGTCACCAAAGAAATGTATTGGGTAGCATTTTCATCATGGAATATTCTCACTTGTGGAATTCTCTTTCAGCTTCTTGTTTTCCAGTCAACATTACATTTAAATTTTTGAAGATCAGTGTCAATTGTTATCTTGTCTTAACTCCTATTCTTTTATTGTTCTCTCTTGTTAATTGTTTTTTTTTTTTTTCATATTCTCTGACACCCTCTGTGTCTTAGTGGCTTTATTGCCTTGCTGAGGTAAAATAATTTAAAAAATATATTTACACACTCTCTCTATTATGTACATTTTCAGTAGTTTTGATCTATTTGCTGAAATATTTGTTTGCATATAACTCATTTGCTTCCTTGCAAAGAACACACGCTCTTAATCCCACTCTATACACAGCATTTTGATGCCCTTTGGGTGAACATTTGCTGTGGCAGTTCATTCATAGGCTTTTTTTTTTATTTGCTTGTCTCACTAGGATTTCTTTCATTTCTCATTTCTTCCAAATTACAGTCTTTTCAACACCTGTCTCAATTTGTTTGAAAAATTACAACTTTACCTTTGTTTAGGTAGTTAATCACATACACACATATATATATATAATTTACAGTGTGGGCATGTGGCCGAGTAGTTACAATGTTTGCATTTTGGCCATGAGACCCAGGTTCAAATCTCACCATGGTTGAGTTGTCAGTAAGGAGACTTCCTGATGTTATCAGTCTGGAAGGTTTGATCCCAGCATGTGGCATCTTTGGAAGGTGCCTGAAAACCATGGCAAGGGTTAACCCAAGCCTTGTGAGTGAAATTGAGTAGATGGAACCGTTGGGAGCTGTCAATAGCTGTGTTAACGCAAAGTCAAGTCATTGTGGGCGAGGGCTTGAGTGTGCTGACCTTGTTCAAATTGTTGATCACACTCTTTCCTAGAAACTGTAACTAAGGTCTATTCAGAATAGTTGCAGTATAAACCACAGTTTGGCTCTGTTGGTGTTGGAACAAACACAAATGCACCTGAGCAAGCGTCTGCAATAGGGATTGGCTAGCTACCCTAGTAGACAGGTATCCTCAAATACAAATGGCCAGCTATACATACATACGTACGTACGCAGCAGAATAGGTTCCCCCAATTCCTATGCATCTAACATAGTCTAAATTCTCTGTAATGAATTTGGTTATTTGAATTTAAGTGCAGTACTAGACTGGTGACAAAGGTCTCACCAATAGACAGTTGAGTTGCCTACATGTAACCGTAAGTTCTATGCTAACATTTTCTTTTCTTGCACTTCTTGCTTGTGGAACTCTCTTCTGGCTCCATGTTTTTCAGTCAACTTTAATCTTCAAAAATTTAAATGCAATGTCATTCACTGTTTGCTGTCCTGATTACTATTCTTTCATTCTTGCTCCTCAATAATGCTTCTGTTTTCTAATTCTTTTATGCCCAGTAACCTCTTGCTTCTTACTGGCTTTACTGGGTGAACTTGATTTAAAAATAAATAAAAAAAGGTTCATAATGAATTTGAGGCAAGCTCTTTTACCAGACCATCAATGAAATGTCTTGTATTCATTTTTGAGTATTTGTTTTTCTCTGACGAACAATTTCCTTAATGTCATTACAAGCTCCTTTAAAATCGGGTTTTATTCTTATTTGTTCGTGGTAATGGATTTTATATTTATCAGGGGAGATTTTATCACTTTTAATGTTATCTTAGTGGATACCCATATTTGAGGGCAAAGGGCAAATATTTTTCTTCAATAAGATTTCTGAAATATTCAGGCTGATAGACTAAAATAAATATACCGTTTAATAGTGTCTACTCAAATGTGAGTATCAACTAAAATAAAGTTTAAAGTGATAAAATCTGTTGGATTAATAAATAAAATCCATTACTTCATTAGAATTGCTTTGCTTACATTCAAATATGAGACTGAGCTGATATGAACTTCCGAGAATCTGGGAGGGATTTGTTTTATAAGACACTATTTGGTTTTGCTTGATCAGTGACATATTCTGTAGCCTAGTCAGTCTAGAGAACACCATATTTAACGACAGCTCCTCCTTTCATATCCCTGCCGGAGGGTGCTTATTTTTTTTTTTTTATAAGATTTCTCAGATATTTGGGTGAGTAGATGAAAATAAATAAATATACTGGTTAATAAATAAACGTAGTGTCTGCTCAAATCCACTAGAATAAGGTTTAAAGTGATTAAATGGCAATGAATGTAAACTTGAACTTTTGAGATTTCATGATTCTCTGTTCTAGTTTAGTTAGAAAATGAATAAAACTATCAAATATCTTCATAAATAATGAAATTTTTTCTTTTCTTTCCCTTATTGTTATTTTTATTTTGAAATCTTAACTTTTTTTTTTTTTTTTCAGGAATACATGTCTTGTATTACCACATTCACTACCAAAGCTGCTGAATTCTGTAAAATGGAATGATAGAGGTGATGTTGCAGAGGTCAGAAATATTTATTAACTGTTTCTTTATTATTATGATGATGATAATGGCTATGAAAGCTTAACAGAATTAGTTTTCAGCTGATTTTCTCATTCATTTGTTTATATAACTCAAATATACTTAGAAATAAACTCTCATAAAAGATTTTTTCTATCCCGTTCTTAACATCATTGAGCAGAAAGTATAAGTGATATTCAAGATTTTATTTTTTCTTGTAATTTTTATTAAAAAAATATTCAAGTTTGAATGCAACTCATGTTACAATGGGATTTGAAATTTGTATGAAATTCTATTACATTTACTTTTACACAAAAAGATACCCAATGAAATCTTATTTAGGTTGATTTAAATATTATTTACAGTATTTACATTGCTATCTTCATCTCTATCTACCCTGGGGTATGAAATAAAGGGTTTGGTTTGAAATTCCAACATATCTCACTTGAAGTGAACAACCAAAACATTGTGAATATGACAATAAACAGGACAGCAGTTTGAACAATGTAAATAGTTAGAATACCTCATCATGGAAATATAGACAGATTTAAATATTACTTGAAAATATTTTCAGATTCAATCTTAAGTGTAATTTGAGAAAACAGTAAATACCTTCAAAGTTATCTCCTTGGAAGTTTAATTCTATATTAAGAATATTAATTTCAATGATCATACAATTTGTGTTGATTTGCATTGTTATCTTGTTTTAGATCTATCGGTTGCTGCAGAAATGGCCAACTCTTTCACCAGAAGATGCCTTGGAACTACTTGATTGCTCCTATATGGACACAAATATCAGGAACTTTGCTGTTGACTGTTTAAATAAAGGACTGACCAATGACAAACTGTCCCAGTATCTTTTACAAATTGTCCAGGTATATTTATCTTTATTACATCTAAAATAGATCTGTATTCTAATTTGTCAGGATTTCTTTTATATTTTTTAACTTAGCCTGTAAAAAAAAGACAAACTCAACGCCTTAACTGGCAAAAGATAAAATGGTTAAATCCAATTCAAAGTTTATGAACTTTTTGTTTGTGAATTGAGTTTTCCTTCACAGACTGTTTTCTTAAAGGAAATAGTGTGTATAATGAATAAACTGATACCGAGTTAAATGGTCTGTTTTTTAAGCACCAACAAAACTATATTTTTTAAGACTTGTAATAAGAAGCTTGATCTCCTTTGCACTTTATAATAAGAAAATTGAACTATGACGTAATTTAAGTGGAGTATATAACCGTTTTCTCTAAATGAAAAGCCTGAAGTAAGACATCTAGGGGAATAAAAACATGGCTGATTTGCGGACTTTTGGCAATTTTCATTTCTGTATTTTAACTGGTTGAGTAGTCAGTGTGTGATCTCACACACACACACACACACACACACACACACACACACACACATATATATATATATATATATATATATATATATATATATATAAAATTGTGTATTCGGGCAGAAATTCCTCTTTTATATGAGTTTCAATAACAATGTCTGAGGTACTGTGGTTAAGTTTTTTATTTAATTTTGTGCTCTTATAATTTTTTTTTTCTTTTCCAGACGTAAATTATGTAGAAATTGTCCAAATGCTTTATATGTTCAAGCGTTTCAGCTACACTTTTAACCATTATCAAGGATGATTTTTGTTTTTTTGTTTTTTTTCCTTAAATGAATGTTTGGATTGTTTTATATATGTATCTTGAGTTATAGGAATGTTTTATTTTCCAAACATGTTCATAGTTGATATTGAGTGTTGTCTTTTTCTTTTTTTATTTCCATTATTTTTAATCTTTTTTTAACATGTAGATGAGGTGATTATATTTGAATTATCAAATATAATGAATTTAATGAAAATTATATATATGAGAGAGAGGGGGGTTGTTCCTGTAACTTTATTTCAATGAGATCAGCTTTACACTGAATTTTGTGAATAGGTTTGGCTTTTGTTTGCACAAAAACAAGTAAACAATGTCTTACACCCCCCCCCCTTTATTTTTCTCACTCATGTGTTTAATTTGTTTAAAAATTGTGATTTTGGTATTGCTAATTAACTTTTCTTTTTCTCTTTTTTTTTTTTATTTCAGGCACTAAAATATGAACCCTATTTAGATAACTGCTTAACAAGGTTTCTTTTAAAAAGGGCCTTGTTGAACCAAAGGATTGGTCAGTTCTTCTTCTGGCATCTTAGGTTAGTTTCTTAACATCTATTCTGCAAATGGCATGTGCATCATTTTACAAACACTAAAGGAATATGGAAATATTTTTGTCCTATCTTCTTTTTTTTTTATGCTGAAATTGTTCAAATATTTTTTTTATCAAAGTGCCATAATAATTTTATAAGGAATTTCCTTCCATTACATATAAAGAAACTATTGTTACTAAATTTTATCTTTAATCTCAGATGATTTTTTTCTTTAAATCATTTCACTTCATGCAAGGCAATAAAGCCACTAAGATAGGGTTACTGAGAGAAAAATTTGCTGAGAAAACATTAAGGTGAAAGGATCATAAAAAGCAAGACAGATGACAATTGATGTTGCATTTGAATTATTGAAAGTGTGAAAGAAACTTTGAGAATGGAACTAATGGTTACATCTACCTAATTGCAACAATAAAATTAAGAGACCTAACTGCCAATTTAGTATTTCGGTTAAATTCATGAATTTGAGGTACAGCAGTGAGAAAGTGATTGAAGTCAAGATTCCAGGTTAGGACCAATAACATGGCAGATTCTTTGGATTTTTGTCAAGAAGAATCTCTAGATAATTAGCAGAAGCACCAAACCAGATGTGGCAAAAATATTCAGTGCACATACAAATAGTAGACATACATATGCAAGATAGATTCTGGAGAGAAAAATTGTCTCATACAGCACCGTGAAGTTATTTTCCTAGCAGCAGATTTAGCAATTGACCCGATATTATCGTCAGACCTGTTCTGTAACTGAAGCAAAATTACTGGTTCCCATATGATCACTAAAGTTAAGCTACATCAAGTCTGCTCAGTACCTAGATGGGTGACTGCTTGGGAAACCAGGTGCTGTAAGCTTGGATGTGTACCTGATGAAATAGATAATGACTTGAAATTGGAAATCTGAGTTTCAATTCAAGGGGTTGTTATATTCACTTATGTGCAAATACCCTTGAGAAAGGTATGAACCCACGTCTTTAACCCCCAGCTATGGGTTAATTAGTAGAAATTGTATCAGTAAAAATCATTATCTCCAAAAAGTTCTTATAATCTAAGAATATTTTCAGGCTTTAAATAATATGCACTGAGGCAAAATTAACTGTAATATACTGTTATTGGATGAAAAGATAGATGGAAATTGTTTGTCAATCATTTTGACAGGTGTAACTATTTATTTTCTTGTGTAAATTGTCTTTCTAATGATCTTTTCTCATTCAGATCTGAAATGCATGAAACATCCATCCGTCTAAGGTTTGGTTTGATATTAGAAGCTTATTGTCGGGGATGTGGAGCATTCCTGAGGAACCTTCTCAAACAGCTGGAAGCATTAGACAAATTGGCTAAGCTGTCAGATAAAATGAAGTCGGATTTTATGCGAGAAGTGAGTATGTTCTCAAAGTTATCTCCTCAGGAATATGACTTTTCCTTTTATTCTAATCATAATAAAATACAGATTTTTTAAGAAAATAGGTTTTTATTTATTTATTTTTTTAAATAACTTTTCATTTGAAAAAATTCCTATTTGTTCTGATTTTCACTGTTTATCTTAAGTGTCAAGGGTTTCTAGAATGTGGTTCAAGACAGCATTATAGATTTGTTACCCCCCATAAAAACAAAAAAAACGGGCGTCTTGTTTAGTATTTTGATTCATTGCTTTCACTGATTGGTCTCTCTTGATGTGCAGTAAATATAGTTGCTTCCCTTTACAGTCAAATTTTTTCTGGTGTAGTGTTAACACGTAGCTGTGACTGAAATCTGTGTGGAGGCATTTTGGAAGTTTTAATGACATTCTATTAAAGGCTCATGTTGTTCCATTTTATTTAATACAGCCTTCCAAGTAAGTTGTGAGCGTCATAACAGTTTTACAGTCTTCTTGACCCATTTATAAATGCTCTTTTTTATAGCCAATAACTAATTTCACAATCTTGTAATGAAATATTTTTGATAATGAATATCACCAATGATATCAGTGAATGACAAATCAACATACTGTATGCAATTCTTTAATATAAACTATATCTTTAGCATTAATAAATTCCATTTGGAGCAATAGACATAACAGCAATCTTTATAAAAAAACAGTTTTCTGATTTCACGAGAAAGCAGCAAGATATCTCATCTTGTCCGCTGTGATGCTTGTAATCCTCCACTGAATAACCATCGTTGAATAGGAAAGAAAGATCTGTCTCATCAGAAAACAGTACCAAGGACTTGGTTATGAGAACCGTTAACTGTAAATTGGATAATTCATTTTTGCCTTATAAAGGGAGTGTTATCATATGTGATTTGCTTTGTGTTTTATCAGTTCAATGGTAGTCACTAATCTTGTTAATACAGAGTTCTGACCTCACCTGCCTTTACAACCTGGGCACTTATATAGTTTCTATGCCTTGGCTATACTAATTAGGCAGTCATTTACATATCACTACAAGGAGAAATCAGTTTATTGCTTTTATAATTTCTAGAATCTGTATAGGATTACTGACAGACATAAGATTTTAACCATCCCTCCCTTAAGTTCATTCCAGAGAATATGGTACTTCCCAACTGATTGATGATATATGTATGTAATAAATTTGAGTAAGTAATCCTGACATTGTTATGAATTGACATTTAGAAAAACTTTCAAGAAAGTATGTTTCAAAAATAATAATGCATTTCACCTCTATGGCTTCATCAGATGATAACAAAAAACATGTGTATGTATGCATTTGTGTGTGTGTGTTTAAAATAATTAAATTTTATATTATTTTTCCTAAGCTGGCATTGCTTGAAACAACAAAATGAGTGACTTTTTTTTTTTTTTTTTTTTTTAATAGAGTCAAGCAACACCAGCTTGGGAAAAATAATACAAGATTTAAGATTTAATTATTTTTAAATGCACACAAATACACATACACTTTTCATTATCCATCTGATGAAGCCATACATACAGGTGAAATGCATTATCAGATATTATTTTCAAAATATACTTTCATGTATGTTTTTTCCAAACATTATATATGTAAAATCTCCTTTCTTCTGTGTTCCTTTCTGGAAATGATGCATATTTGGTAATGTCAGTATTGAAGATTATAACTGTAAAATATGAAAAATGTTATTATGTATATTTTTGGTTATTCAGTTGGTTCTTCGAATGCTAATTACACATCAGGTGGAAATAAAACTGGGATTGGTGCTTAAGGTGGTAAAATCATGCAGACAAATCTCAATATGGATGTCCAAATCTACAAGGCCAGAGCATTTAGCATGAACATTGCTACACAAATAGAAAAAAATAAATACAAATTTTGTACAAAAAGAGTAGAAAATTGAATTCTACTAATTATAATTATCTTTATAAAATCATGTCCCAGGAAATCTGTTCTGGCCTATACCCCTTCCATGTCCTAAAATTATTAATACATACAGTCTTGAAATACCTGCAACACATTTTGACTATTTGATCTAAACTGCCCTGTAGACCATACCTCATGCTCTGCCTCCTTACAGCCTGATTCTCCTGTGGTGAAAGTAGGCTTACTGGAAACTTGTCATAATAGTATTTCTTAAATAGAATTAAAATTGCTCTGTTGAAATATATATATATATAAAAACACTGTGGACATAGGAATCAACACTGCTCTAAGACCGAGATTTTGACACCATAATACACTCATCAATGTTCAATTTGATACAAATGGGTTTTTTCTTTTTCACTGTTTTCCTCATGTCATTAAAGTGTTTGCCACATCTAATATATTATATATATCAGTATGTTTATTGCATTTCAGGAAGATCAAAAACGTTTCCTTACTGAGCAACTCTCCCAAGCTGATTATCAAGAAGCTCTTCAACGATTCATCTCTCCACTCAACAACAGCCACATGCTTGGAGACATACTGTAAGTCACTATCAAGTCTTTGTAAATATCAAATATTTAAGTGCCAAAATCCCTTGTGGTAAGTGATACATAGCTATTTCAATTTTGTTAAAAACCAAAATATTTGTTTTAATAGATTTCCTGCTAACTTATCGTTTCCAATTAAAAAATTAGTTACCTTTTTTTTCTCTCCTGTACAATATTCACTTTTGTTGCTGTGGAAATTATGGCTTATTTACAGAAATAGAAATGCCATTTTAAAGAGTAACTTTTTGTGAAATTTTAGCTAAAGTGGATTTCTCTTAATTTGGGAGATCTCAATTATTCATTAACAATACTTGAAAGATTTCCTGGGTGTAAAATCCTGAAAACCTTGAACTTTTAGTTTTGAATGCAATTTGCCGATATGACTTAATTACCGATTTTTAGTAGGCATTTAATTCTTACATTATGTGCCAGAAATTACTAAGAAACAAATAGTTCTTGTTTTACAGACAAAACTCTGTAATCTATGTTATGTTTGTATCTTGTAATGAATTTTCTTCATATTTCCTTTTAATTTATATTCTTTTGTTTGAAAAAATATCCAACTTACACAAATGATAACTGTAAATAAAATATGGGAAATTATTTATTTTTTTTTTTTCCAGAGTTCAACATTGCTATTTAAAATCCTCCAAAAAACGTCCATTGTGGCTTGTATGGCAAAACCCAGATCCCTTGGCTGAATATTGGTTGTCATACTACAAACTCATTTTCAAGAATGGAGATGGTGACTTGATTGTATTTTACTCTTTTGTATGAGGGTCTGTCAACAAGTTCTAATGACTGTTCTAATTTCCTTTCTCTCTTTCTTATATTATGAATCATAATCTGAGAAAGCAGGAAAAATGTTCATATTTTAAAATTACTTTACCTCTGGGTATACATAGAAAACAAAGGAGGTTAGTAAATGTTCATGGAAAGCCTGCACTTGATGTAAACGCAGTAAGGAGATGGATTAATAGAATTAATGGCAATCTTAGAAAGAAAGAAACTGACTTCACTGAAAAGCTCTACAGTGGCAGGCCAGCTGCTACTGTAAACGAGGATAAGGTCAAATAGTCTAATGTTCTCATTGCAGCTGAGAGAAGAATCACTAATGCATAACTCTTGTAAAAAAATCCATCTGGTGAGCCATAATTAGTGATGTGTACACAACAACATAAAGAACCAGACAAGTAATCACAGTGCATGGTAAGACAACTTTGCCTCATCCATGATTATGATCTTGGGATTACTGGCACTTTCTGACTTTATTTGTTTGGTCCTATGAAGTAGGCACTCGGAGGATAGCAATTCTTCAGTGATGATGGCGTGCAAGGGACAACTCACTCATGGCTAAGAATCAGATAAGAAGTTTCTATGAATCTCTAGCAAGAGGGACCAATTTTCTGTTTCAAATTTTAGGGAATTTCAGGGTTTTTTTGTTTTTTTTTTTTCCTTTTCTGTTTTCAGCATAGAATTCCCTTTTCTTCTCCCCCATACAATTTTCAGTCTAGATTTTTATTTTTGCTTAATTATAATACTTAGTGAGTAAGAAGTGTAACAATATATAAATATCAAAACACAAAAGGAAAATGAAGAATTTTACTGGCTGGAATATCCACCCATTGGGCAAGATGCTTTAGCTTGACAGGCTTTAATATCTCATATTTCAGTCTTTAATCTGACTTGATATAAGTTTCCAGAGCAACTCTTGCAAAGAATGCTACAATCCTAAATAAGAATTAAGTGTAAGTGTCAAAACCTACAAAAATGTAGAACCATATCATTTGGTAACTCCATTTGACTTTCTGAAATGACAAACTTCCCCGACCTCTGTCACCATGATTGATAGGTAAAAGAAAGGATAAAACAAAAAAAAGATTAAATCCTCCTCCCCTACTGCCACCACTTTTATATATATATATATATATCTTATTATAAAATGTAGATTGTGTGTCTGTAACGTTTATATATTGGATCGGATTTCCTACATTTTTTAGCCAATTTCAACAAAACTTCACAGGACTACATAAAATTACCTTGTGGTGGTTCTAACAGCGCCAAAAAATGGGAAAAAAACACAATTGTTTTTTAACAAAATCAATTTGAAAACACGATTAAGACGACATCGTGAGAATGAAAGGGGACAACTCACATCGGGTTAAAAACCCAGGTTGTTTGTGTGTGTGTGTGTGTGTGTGTGTTTTTATATATGGGATCGGATTTCTTACATTTTCAGCCGATAAAACATCCACTTTCTTTTTTTTTTTGCAGGTACTGTTTCTTATTGTCTTGCACACTTTTTTCTTTATTCAGAATGCTTTAAAAATTCCATTTACAAGACAATTGTTTATAATAAAATTCTAATTCTATTCAATTGGGGGACTCATCATAACAATTGAAAACAATGTTTTTGTTTGAGTTTGGCTTTGACCAATTCATAAAAAAAAAAACAAAAAAAAAACTAAGATATGCGTGTCCGTCAACCTAAACAATAATCTAACGATCTCTACTGTTTGTACGAATACAAAAATCGGATAATTCTTTATCTTTAGGAAAGATAATTCCAATCTTTAAACCGTTTTTACAATTCCCTTTGCAATTTGTTAAAGGCAGATAAATAAGGCATTGGTTCTATTTGAAATTAATTCAATATTTAAAAGAAAGTATTAAGAAATAATTTAAAAATGCCGACGTAAAAATCTGATAGACAAAAAACAACAATATTTCAAGATGATAATTATTATGGAAAGAACACAGTACTTGTAATAAATTAATAAACCCAAATAAAGTTAATATTTTTTGTATTAGAAACAACGAGTGGAAAATATATTCAAATCAGAATTCTAATTATGAATCACCACAAGCAAAATATGCAATTTTTTTTACTGTATTCAATAAGTAAAAATCATAAATTGTAAAAGATAAGGCTACCTACATTTTTCAACCGATTTCAACAAAACTTTTTTTTGGCAGGTACTGTTTCTTATTGTCTTGCACATTTTTTTCTTTATTTTTACATTCAGAATGCTTTAAAAATTCCATTTATAAGACAATTGTTTATAATAAAATTCTATTCATCAATCAATAAACTCATAACGATTGTAAACAATGTTTGAGTTTGGGTTTGACCAATTCGTAAAAAAACAAAAAAAACTAATTAAGACATGCGTGTCCGTCAACCTTAAACAATAATCTTTGTCAATTTTATTTTTCAGTCTTTATGATGGTAGATACTTGATTTATTTCTACTTGTTATATCCCCGGCAACGCCGGGCTCTACTGCTAGTGTGTGTATATATATATATATATATATATATATATATATATATATATATATATATATATATATATCCAACTTTGTAAAACTTGGTTCCTAAATACTGTAAACTGTAGGGAGAAAGTAGGTAAGTGGGGTGTATTAAAACATTACTGATTTTATCCTTTGATTGTTTGTCGGACCAGTTAGTTACATGAAAGGCAAACATAGTAACAAATAAAAATGGCAGTTGGCAAATCTGTTAGAAAAAATTTCTGTTTCAAGTAGGTCATTCCGTTTTCACGGAAAATAAGCCCTTCTATCTGCCTTCATTCAAAGGTAGAATGCCACCATTGAGAAAGGAGTCTATTGCTAACGAGATTTGGTATGTTTTGTGTGCTTCTAGTATTATGTTCTTTTATATTTAACAAAGAACATGCATTACTTTTTGACTAACCCTCATATAAGATTTCTATTTACCCGTATTAGCAATTGATTAATTTTTTTTTTTTTGCTTTTTAATATTAATTATAAGTTATTTATTAATTTTTGAGTCAGTATTATAAAATGATGCCTTTAGAAAACATTTCTACTAATATCTAATTGCTGAAACTAATTATCTAATTCCTTTGTGTAGCAAGTGGCAGAAAAAATATCAGTTGGAGTTAATTGACTTACGTGATGAATTTTTGAAATGAAAATGTCATTCCGAATCCACTACTGATTTCTCCATGTTTTGCCAAGTGGAATTGAAGTCTATAGAATAATGTAAAAATGATGGTAACATTATTTGGAAGTACATATACTTAGGAACAACATTTTTTGAAAATGAAATATATACCAAGAGTCGTTTAAGAACAAGGTTTTCAGTAATTATCACCTGGATGATGTTCTGCTCCCGTCATTGACAAATATTTCACCTGATGTGGAGAAGTTATCGAACAATAAGCAGAAACAAGTGTCTCATTAAGTAATTTGCCATTTCTAACTGTATTTTATTTGTAGTAAGGGATATGCATTTTTTGTCATCTTAGTTGTTATCCTGTTATACATACAGTAAAATAAGGAACTTGGTTTAAATAACATTAACTTTGTTGTTTTTTTTCTTTAAACCTCTAGACCAAGGTAGCCTTCTGGATGGAGACAATTTATTTTTAGTACATTTGATATCATGGCCCACCTCAGAGACACTGCATAGCTTTCTGGCCCTCTCTCTCCAAAAGGTTGCCAACCCCTGTTCTATACAGTGTTAGCAGATGGGTTAAAAATCACAACGAAAATTGCCCAGCATAATGATTCTGAAAGAATTCTTACTGCTTCAGCAATTTGTCTCTGTAATAAACTTAATATTGCAAAAATACGGTATTTCCTATATGCTATGACACTAATGGTAAGATGCACCCTATAATTAGCTAGGTGATTTTTTTTTTCAAATATTTGAGAATTGGATAACTCATTGTGCAAGCAAGTCCATGTCACCAACTCTACAGTTGATAGATGCAAATATTTGTATGCATGTAGGCACATATGTGTAAGTGTAATTATGTGTAAATAGAAAAATGTGTATGTATGTAGGTATTGAGACTTGTGTAAGATCTCCGTTTTCTCCCTTCCTCTCCCTATTTCTTTATTCCTTTCTCTTGTCTGGTGAACAAGAGGTCATTGCTACAACCATCACATTCCCTAGAGATATATACCTCCCTCCTCCCCTTCCTGCTCTATGTAACTATCACTAATCTTGTTATTCTTTTTGCTTTGTGGTTGATTCCTGAAAGAATTTTTGAATCCACTCATTATTTTGAAACCACAAGGTCTGACAAAGTGAAACCAAATTTTATCAGCCTCACGAAATAAAAAATATTACCATGGCTTTGATTTGTTAATTATTACTTGCTCCATTTACTACATTGAGGTCTTGGGATTTATATCCTCCCTGGAATTATCCATACAGATTACCAATTAACTTTATCATATTGTGTGTGTATATATATATATATATATATATATATATATATATATAAATTTAACTTTTTATATCTCAATTTTTATCCTGACATTGATGTTTCTTAGTAAAATTTCCAATAATCAGGGTAGTGGTTTTGAACGGTATTTTTTTTTTTTTTTTTTTTTTAAGTTGAAACAAATGGAAAAACCACTACCATTGACAACTGGAAATTTTACTAAGAAACATCGATGTCGGGATAAAAATTGATATTTAAAAAAGTTAAGTAATCTTTTCATATAATATCATTAATGCTCTATTTTTAATATTGAGCACTATATATAAAAATGTCTGTTAAAACATATATATCTAACACTTTTGCCCCAGCCCCTCAACCTCCGACGTCTAACTCTCTGGGTTGAGGTGTCTACTCAGTCTTAACCGAACTTAAGGGAGTGACCGTAGGTCCCCTGAGCATCCGTAGATTATTTGACTGGTCCACTGGTTTAATTCTGCTTCCTGCCCACGTTGTTTGGTTTGATCCAGAAAGCAGAAGTGATGTTCATCCATTCACGATCGACTGAAGATGTAGACACAGCTGGAGAGTCTGCGCTAAGAAATTTAGAATGCAGCAAAATAAAAAAATTAATATCTGCAGAAAGCTGGACAAACAACTATTCAATGATTGAATTGTTAATGTATTTTATATAGCAGAAAAGAATAGTATAGAAAAGAAATGGGTTACAGAAAAGAAAAGTAATTGACGTAAAAACGCATACACTGGATTCTGGACAGAGAGTGTGTTATGGTTAACTTGTTAAATTGTCTCAGAACGATATATGACTCTTGCGATGGGGGAATAAGATTTCTGTGCGTGGCTTAAAGTTTATAGTGGTGTTCCTCCTTAGCAGTAGTAACAGTAGTAGTAATATTCGTGGAAGCAGAAGCAGCGGTACTTATATCAAGAGTACATGTTAGTGGACGCTTCGTTCCAATCTCTGACGTCACTTTCTCTCTTTCTTGAGTCTCCAACTCGACTCTTCACTGTCTCTACCCCAACTCTTGCCCGGGCTAATTTTCTTCTGTCTGTCTCTTCTTCAGCATAACTACACATTTATATAGAATCCGGCTGGTTCCAACTGAACCTTGGCCCTACTACTTTGCACGTGATTATCACAGGGTTTTGGCTGTTTCAACCAAAATCATGTGAATTCAAAAGTTCCTCCTTGCTTACTCAGCTCTATTCCAAGTTTTAATTAATAAAAATTATTTTGACCATTTCCATTGTCTGCTAATGACCCAGTTTCAATGGGTACAGCTCCTCCCCTAGATCAGGTTTCACCATCAGTAAACAAAAATGCTCTGATCTAATTTCGCTGTTGAAATCCACTCCAATTTCACTAAAAAAAAAAATATGCGTGTGTGTGTTTCCCAGTCTCTCTCTCTCTCTCTCACACTCACACACACACACACACACACACACACACAATTTATAATATTAATAAAATAATATAAATTAATTAATATAGTAATAGACTCAATATTGTGAAAAGTGGAGATCATTGACTATCATTGGCATTGATGAAACTGAATTTAAAAGAACATCAACCACAGGGACCTCATTAAATAAATCTGCACTTTTTAATTTATTAATTGTTCACATATTTTAAAATGGTTTATATTAGGAGTTATTTTACTGATGTACATAAATGTTCCATAAAATTTAGTTGTTAAATACAAGTATATTTTCATTAAGTTCGTGTTACTTCAAAATAAAGTATATACATTTATTATTTCTATAAAACAATTCCTAAACTTAGTATGATAAAAAAGAACTGTGGAGTTGGAATTCAAAACCTCCGACTCCTCTATTTTTGGCACCGTCAACTCTGGCTTCTCTTTATGTAATTAAGTGGTTATGGCCTGTGAATCTCAAAGCCTATGCATACACTTCTAACTCATTATAACTGGTTTCTATCAAAGAATAAAAGATATTGTGGCTTTTATATCGTATCTATTCATTCTCCAATATTTTCTAACAGAATTAGGGGCAAAATCTTTGAAAGGATATAAGAGATAACAATGCTATAATGTAAGACTTTTACATTTTTACAAATAAGAAATAAATCTTTACAGTGAAGACGGCTTTTTTTTTTTTTTTTTTTTTTTTTAAATCCATTCATCCCAAGCAAGTCAATAAGGCTACTAACATGCATGTAGCTACTGGGAGTGAAAGAGAAGGATAAGATTTTAGAAGGAATTTGGGACCTAATCCTAAACTGGAATCCAGGAATAAACCTCTACTCCTGTTCAAAAGACTGGGGAGGTGTGTGAATCAAATTTAATTCGAGTCACAAATAAGCAGACTTTATCTTCTAATTCTCTCAATACTGACCAATTTACTCTACTTACCAAAAAAATAATTTCAAACATTTCAGTAAAAAATTATGTGCAGGTTTAATTATTTGTTGAGGAACAAATATTGATCTGCTTTTTTTTCTTTCTTTTTTCCCCCCCCATTTCAGATTTAAGGCAGGATATGCTGACATTGCAGGTGATCAGGATTATGGACTCCATATGGAAAAATGAAGGCATAGATTTAAGGTAAAGCCAGTCTTTTCTTTCTCTCAGTAATTGACTGTAAAAGTTTTATTTCTGATTTACAAAAGATTATCAAACACAGTCAGCCATTTTTATGAATTGTTTATTGAAATGTTTTAATTTTGATCCTGTATTTTATAACATTCTCTTAAGCAACTATCAGGTTTCAATTCCCACTGATTTTTTATTATCATTTCATCCCAATCAAGATAATAAAGCCACTAAGAGACAAAGGGTGAAATAATGAGAAAAACATTATTAAGGAGAGAGAACAAAAGATAATGATGGACATTGCATTTACATTCTTGAAGATCAAAGTTACTAGGAAACCAGGAAGCTGGAAAAGAAGTTCTATGCTAATAGTTTCTTATAAAAAATTTGTTTGTTCATAAATACAAATTTTTTTTTAGGTTTTTATAATTTTTGATTCTTTTAAAAATCTTGAAATGGTTAGATAAGTTTGTTTCCTCTAATTATTAAACACTAAAATTTTGACTTTATATATATATATATATATATATATATATGGTGGACGCTCCCGTTGAATTGGACATGAGAATCAAGCAGCTCAGTTTCTAGGAACCAACAGCCAGACACCAGCACATATGTTTTGATTATAGTGGTGAATATTTTGTGCAGAACCAACCACATTTTTTGAAGGGCTGAATACTACGTACCACAAGTTCCCCAAATGGCCCTCTGCAGGTTTTGAATTCAGACTTTACCTTCTCCTAGACTAGTTCCCATCCAAGGCTATAGAACCCAATCCTGCTATTTACCCATAGCTGAAGGGAGAATCATTCATACAAAAAACAAATATAGAGGTTAATGATTTAAATGGTGAGAATACATCGTCGCAAACAATATAAATAAGATACATCAACCCCGAAGCTGTATTTTCCGTGAATATGGCATGAACTATATTGTAATGTCACACTTATTATCCAAGAGTTGCACGTTGGATCAGTTATTTTAATTTCAGAAAATCTACCAGTAAAAAAAGAATTCTCTTATTGCTATATTTGTACAAAAACACACAGCCTTAAAATTTAAATTCAAACTCAGCGTTCCGACCACACGTTCCAAAACAATAATAATTTCTCATAGCATTTTTTCGGATTACATCTCTATTTTCGTTGTCCTCTTATTACTGAGAAGTAAGAACAAAATCTACTTCCATACCTGATGATGTCTGTAGGAACAGATGAAAGCTTGTAAAAAAAAAAAAAAAAAAAAATTAAAAAGACCTTATGCAACTGGAATTTATAAACGGGGATCATATTCATATACAGGTTTGGGGTTGATGTATCTTATTTATATTGTTTGCGACAATGTATTCTCGCCATTTAAATCATTAACCTCTATATTTTTTTTGTATGAATGATTCATGAATTTATAAATTATAATTGCACCTTTTAATTGAAATATATATATATATATATTATAAATTGATTTAAAATGGTTTTTTTTTCTGGCTACACAGTTCTAACCATGTTTCAAAAATGGAAGCAAAAAGCTACGAATTTAATTTTGTAATTAAATTAAAGACATTAGTTCCATTTCATCCTCAAGCGAATTTTGGAGTAACTTTTAAAATTACTGGGTTTTAAAGACACAGCTAAAATCATAATTCACGTTTCCAAGGTTACAGATAAATCCACTTCCACTAGAGACAAGGGGTATTCATTATGTCTGTATTTTGATGTATCAGTTATTAGTTACGTTTTGGTAGGGGGTAGAGGTGTATTTTTCAATGAGATCTAACATCCGTTAAATGTATGTTGTCTGGATTTTAAAAAAAAATTTTTTTGTTAATGGCAAAAAGTCTTACAGAATTTTTTTTTATTTGTATATTTAAAGATTTATGGGTGGGTATTTAGGTTAGAATACGTTTTATTTAACTACGATTTGAAATATTTTCACTTTTAATTTTTAATATACTATATTTTTTTTAAGAACAATTAAATGTAATTAGAATCCCTTACAGTATATAGAATTATTTTCAGATCAATTTTATGTATATTATTAGATTACAAATTTTTTTTTTTTTATTTTAAATTTAAATATTATATTATATGATTGGTAATAATTGATATTGATAATTATTACCAATCAATATCTAAAGAACTATTTATGAATGCATTGGACTTTGCCACCCACTATACGGATATTACAGATGAAGAAAAGAACATTATTCTATATGCGAAAAAATTGGTACTTATACATAAAGGTGAGCAATGGATTAAGAATTCTTATGACCACTTTGACATCACAATGGGATCACTAGACTCAGCTGAGTCTTCTGATCTCATTGGTCTTTTTATATTATACAACCTTACAGTGCACTGTGATATTAACATAACTGACATTGGTTTGTACAGAGACGATGGCCTTATGGTTATTAGAAACTCAACTAACTTCAAAATAGATAAAATTAGAAAGGTATTATATAAAGAATTTAAAAGCATGTGCTTAAAAATTACAGTTAGCACTAAATTAAAAAAAGTGAGCTTCCTAGATATAACATTAGATCTAAATAAAATAACATACACACCTTATAAAAAACCCAACACCAATCTATTATAATATACACCCTAAATCAAATCACCCCCCCATCTATAATTAAACATATACCGTTATCTATCAGTAAACGAATTAGTACAAATTCAGCAAATGACGAGATTTTTGATGATCACATCAATTCCTATAATAAGGCTCTAAAAGAGAGTGGCTACAAAAACCCAAAACTAACTTATATAAAAAATGAAAATGGAAAGCATAGAAAAAACAGATGTAGAAAAATAATTTGGTATACGCCCCCATACAACCAAATGGTAATAACAAATTAGGACAAAAATTCCTCACGTTAATAGTCAAGCATTTTCCTAGTGAAAGTAAACTAAGTTCTATTTTCAATAAAAACACACTAAAATTGAGTTACAGCTGTACAGAAAACTTAGAAAAAATTATTAAGAACCATAATGCTAATATCTTAAATAAACACTTATCCCAAAACCAGAAAAATTTAGAAAATGAAAAAATAAAAATAATCAAAAATTATGTAACTGTAGAAACCCTCATAATTGCCCACTTTTTTTAAATGTCGCACTGAATCATTAGTATACCAATGAAATATCTCTTCGATTGAAAGTCCTGAAAACATAAAAATATATATAGGTTGCACTAGCCATGAGTTCAAAAAAAGATTCAACCAACATCAAAGTTCATTTAGGATAAATAAATATAAAAATCAAACATCTCTATCGAAATACTTCTGGCACCTAAAAGAATCAAATAAAACACCTACAGTAAAATGGAAGTTAATAAAAGCTAAAATATATAGGTCATTAAATGACCCATGTCCTTTGTGCATACATGAGAAACTATATATTACTAAGTTTATAAACAATAAAAATTTACTGAATCAGAGAAATGAAATAGCTATTTTATGCCGTCATTGTCAAAAACTTTCCTTAAATAATATTTAAAAATAAAAATTCACACGCAGAAAAAAAGAAACATATTGGATTTTAAAATTAAATACACATAAACTAGGGTTGAATAGGGACTTAGGTGTTTTAAATCTTTATAAATATTTCAATAGTTAAGCAATTTTTTTTAGATATAGTAAAAAAAAAATTTTTTTTAAATATTTATGACAGTTAGATTTAAGTTAGGAATATCCGAACAGTGACGTTCCATATCACGTGACGTCCGCGTCTCGCGAAGGACGCTACTTGCTAACAAACAGTTATTTCTGATGAAAAATTGAGGACAATTTGAAATATCAAATATATATATAAATAAATAAATACTTTCATAAAATAAAACATTATAATTTTTAATTTGAAACTTTTTCTATATATATATATATATATATAATATACAAAAGCCTCTGAACCTGTTATGAATGAAAAGATCCTTGTTTCTATAAATTTCTGCTGCATTAGTTCTTATTTTTACTACAAGCTTTCGTCTGTTCCTACAGACATCTTCAGGTATGGAATAGATGTTGTTCTTGTTTTTCTCTCAGTAATAAGAGGACAACGAAAATATATATGTATTGTTGGGGGTTTTTGTATATTATTGAACCTGTTTCTTGACATGGATTTCTCAAAAATTAAATCATTAACCTTTGCATTTGTTTTTGTATATGAATAATTCATGAGTCTATATATATATATATATATATATATATATATATATATATATATATATATATATATATATTTGTAAAAATATATGGATATAGATTTTCAGCATGAAGAAAAATATATAAAAAAAACAAACAAAAAAATAATATATTATGCTGTTTAATGTTAATATAATGTCAACATCGGACATTTTGGTCTATTTTATACCATCATCAGGACATATTCATTGAAAATGTATTAAAGATGATTTCAATCGAATATATTTATTATTTTGAAATCATCTTGATATATATTTTATAAATGTATACTATTTCAACGACGTGATCATATTTAAACGGAACACTGATCTTATATAAAAATTTCATTTATCTGTTTGGATTATTATATATAAATATATTTTTCATGTTGAACTTGAATATAGCCTGATGTTAATTATGTTTTATGAATATGTCCTGATGAATGTCTAAAATAGACCAAAATGTCCGACGTTGACATTATATTAACATTAATACAGCATAATTGCATATTAAGATTTTTGTTTGTTTTTTCTGTATATTTTTCTTCATATATTTTGAACAATAAAAATTATTAAAAAATTCAAATCTTCAGACACACTGGGTTGTAGATTAATATTCTTTCGTTTGTATTATTATTATTATTTCATTTAGATTCCTCAACTAGTTTTGGCCAAAATGGCCATCATCAGAAGAAAAAAAAAAATTTCTGCTTGCTGGTAGCAGTGAACTACAGAAACGAATGTCTTGATGGAGAAAATGGACTTTGTCTGTAGTTTTCATTTGTTTTTTTTATTTTTTTTATCTTTTTAACATGAATTTTTTAACATTCCTTGTGTTGGTCAAACAGTCTCTTTTAAGTTGTTATTTGAGATAAGAGCTGGAAGGATCCATGCTGCTCTGAATTCCCCTGGTCAGTTTGACAGTTTTATTGGTTCCTGGAGAGGGTGTGTGTGTGTGTGTGTGTGTGTTATTTGGTTCTTAGGGAGTGAATGAGCATGATATGTGTAAGGATGTATATTACTGTGGGTGCATGTTATCATTTGGCTCATTAGGAAGTGAGTATGCTGTGTGTATATTCATGTGGGTGTGTATATAAGTGTGAGGCCCCAACACCTCCGTAAATATGTCTCTCTTCTGTAGGTAAGAAATGTGGGTAGGTTTTGATTTGTAAGGTTATATATTAACTATCTATATTGTTAAATTTATGGTTTAATCCGGCTGGATAGTCTGTTTTTAAACGTTGTATCCACTTATTTTCATGGCACTCTAAAATCTTTCTAATGCTATCTTCTTTTCTGTTCTCTCAATTATATATGTGTGCATGTATAAAAATATGCCAGAGACATGAAATGCTTTAAAAAAATCTTGTAAAAATATGAAATTATGGGGAATTTTTTTTTTTTTTTTTCTTTTTAACAATTTTTGTACTTTCTCATAGTATTTTTCTTCTGTTCAGTAGAACTTTCAATTCCAGTGTTCTGGAATTGTTTCTGCAATTGTTTCTTGACACAAATCTAGTACTTCTTTTTGTAAGATGAGTGAAAAGGACAAAACCATTCACTCTGAACAATGAAATCATTTGAAAATGATGTAATGTTTTAGTAATTCACTTTTCTTTAACACAGCCCCACCCCTTTCTCTGTTGCTTGGTAATCTAACTCTGCCAGTTGATCTTCCCCATGCATGTTGTGATTAAGTTATTTTTGGTTATAGCTGAGGAAGTCTTAGGCAAAGCTGGTTGAAACACCTTCAGGAGTAAAGAGAATGAGTTACAAGAAAAGTAAAAGAATGAAGTGACTTTTCAGGACAGACAACCAACTCTGGATTGTATAAACAATAACACAGTTTGTCTATTGAAGATCAATTTAACCCTTCCCAATTCTGCAATGATGTAGTCAACTATGGCCAGTTTTTGAGTTACTAGATGTCAGCTGTATAGACAAGATATCGCAGAAACAACAGTAATATCTTGAACTGGTGACTAATGGTCAGTTCAGTAATTCCCTTGGAAAATTTGGTCTTGGGCCTGCACACAAAATTGGTTTCCAAAACATGATTTTTAACTTTTTTTACACAACTGTCTTTTTTGTCTGCAAAGGAAAACTTCATTTTTGGCTAGGGAAAATTTTTTTACTTGATTAAATTCAATCTTGGTAGGTAGTGAATAAGAATGCCTCTCTCTCCCTACCCCTGTGGAAAACTGTCACCTACTGTTATGCTTGCCCTCATCTTGATTGGATCTCTGTATTTATAGGGTATACATGTCAGATGTTGACTTAGCAGTGGATTTGAATAAGGACTAAGTAATAGGATCTAGGGAAGATTTGATGATTGTATCCAAATTCTTGACTACAATAAACTGGTGAGTAGTATTAAAATGAAAACAAAAAATTCCAATACTGAATTTTAACCAAGATCCAATGTTGCATGTACCAGCTGATTTATCTAAATTGTCATTTTTCTAGTGGGGGTGAAGGATATGTGCTCTTTGTTTCACTTGATCCTACAAGTTAAAAAACTATTATATGCCATGAGTTCAAATTGAGATAATTCCTGGTACTAATGCAATCTATTATAACTGAATGATTTTCATTTTTCCAACAAGAAAAAAAAATCAGCCCAAATTCACAAGCTTGTTTATCTAGGCTTTTCCCATCAATTTCTTCCTTTCCAACAGCTCTGGATATAGATTTATTCACTTGTAAAATCCACATCAGTAACTCTGTTAAATTCCTCTCTTGACCCGATTTACCATTCTAACCAGCCAACAACAACATTCACTTTCTGATAAAATTTACATCAGTAACTCTGTTATATTTCATCTATCAAGTTGTTATTCTCTACCCATTAATTAATTTCTACAGTCAGAGAGAGGTGATGATCCATCAGTTACATTTTTAGATCTTTTTCTGAGTTACCTTTGTCGTAATAGTTTCTTTGTGGATTTGACTATATAACTGATTGGAGCAAATCAATTTTGGCTTTTCAGAATGATACCTTATGGATGCTTATCAACTGGAAAAGAAATGGGGCTCATTGAAGTTGTTCCTGCTGCCAAAACTGTGATGGCCATTCAACACAGAGGAGGCAAAGCTGCTTCAATGCAACTTGACAGTTCTCAGCTTCATAAATGGATCCGGGAACGTAATCCAAAAGAACAGTATGTAAATATAACCATACATAAAAAAAAACTGACTATATATAAATTGTTTGTAGATGTGTGTGCATATTGTGATAGTTTTTATATTTACATTCAATTTTCATTGTAGCAGGATATTATATTAACAGAATACAATTCAAACAATAACTTATCTCTCGCTGCACTTAATCTCTATCTATATATATATATATATATATATATATATATATATATATATATATATATATATATATAATTGGATTGATGTGAGTTTGTGACCCTGGGTTTCACGCTTTTGTGATCATCAGACAAACTGATTAATTTTTTTTAAAATTTTGGGTTTATGTAGATTGTGTGTATTGGTGTTGTTATGGAAGTGGGGGGGGTCGTCGTCGTGATGTCACTCAGGCTAACGCAAACATAGATGCATGTCCGTACACCCGATGAGGTACACAGACACACATACACACTCGCTTGTCCGCTGGGATAAACGCTATTTGGGCTATGCAAGAAAGATCTTTGTAATATGAGAATATTAGAATTCTTTAAAGATTGTAATTTCCCCCTCATTAAATAAGTATCTCTTGTATCCTTACCTGCTTCTCATTTTTTTCCACTTTATTATTTAGACCAACGTTTCTCAACCAGTGCACCTGAGCACACTAATGTGCTTCGAAAAGTAACCAGGTGTACCCCAAATTAACAGACAAGTAATTTATGAATTATTATTATATTTTTAAAAAAATCTTTACTTTTAAAAAGCTAGACACATGAAAGCAATGTAATGTCTACAAAATAAATGATTTTCAGGAGACTTCTTTATTATTTTCCTATTTTCGAATTTCATGACTTATCTATCCTTGTTAAGATTTAAAGTGCACCTCAGAGTTTTAGTTATTTGACAAGTGGGCTCTGAAAAAAAAAAGTTGAGAAACACTGATCTAGAAGAATTTGTTGTTCACTCTAAAATATGCACTTAGTTTTTTTTCTTCTTTGGTTGGCTGAAAATTCTTTTTCTTTGTTGATCATTCTTACATCAATCTGTTTAGTACTTTTTTTTTTTTTAATTTATAATTTAAGATAGAATACTTGCTTTTATCTATATATCATTGTAATTGTTTTCAGGTATGACGTTGCCATTGATACATTCACAAAATCATGTGCGGGATACTGTGTAGCAACTTTCGTTTTAGGAATTGGAGACAGACATTCCGAAAATATCATGCTGACAGAAGAAGGACAGGTAAAAAAAAAAAAAAATTAAAAAAAATCATTCTTCCACCTTTTTGTTATGTGATCAGCAGTAAGTAAAAATACTCCAGAGAACCTCACCAACCCAGTATTCCTGATCTGTGAAGCTATTGTGAAAGTCTTTCATGCAAAGTTTGTTCTTCTATATGAAATGCTTTCAGCAAAATAACTGATATTTTTACATCACTGCAAAATTTATCTATTTATTGTATGACATTAGTATGGAAGAAAATAATATATAAATTTTTATATACCAGAACACTGTTAGGAAAATTCATGGCAAAGGAGAAAAAAATGTGTAACCCATTTCGTCCTTTAGGACTTCATTGGATCAAAGTGATGTTTCTATTAATGTAACTATGAAGGGGAGGGCACACTGATATTTTAAAATCTTAAATTAAAAAAAATATATTTTTTTTGTAAATATCTCTAGCCAATTTTTAGTTTATTTTTATGCTTTTATCGTTTTTGTTATGAAATATCTCACATTGTGATAACAGATCTGTCAAGAATGGTGAAATATAAGAACTTGGGCACAAATTTACTGTGGATGATATAGTGATTAAGTCATTTTTGTTATAAATTGCTTAATAACAAAAGTGATAAAAACGAGAAACTTTTCTAAAAAACAAAAAAAAACAATTTTTAAAACTAAAATTTTAGCCCCAACACTCCCAAATTGTACACCTGTGCAGGTACATCAAGAAATACCTGTTTGGTCTTTGGTCTGAAATGTGCCCCACAAAAAAAATTTTTTTGCCATTAATTTTCTCTGACATAAAAAAGAATAAAAAGTCATTTAAAACTTAAGTTTTTTGCTTATTAATTTATTTACTACAACCACTAAAAAAATTACTATTTGAATGTTTCAGTTATTAATTTTTAGTAATTTATATTGAATTAATGTCCTAAATTTTCCAGATTCATGTGGCTAATTTAATAGTTTTATAAACGCAATAACATCTAGGAAAGAATATGTTCTTGTTTTGTCAGCTTGTTTTTCTAACTAGCCTTCACCTTCACTGTGGGGCCTCCTTTACCTTATACTAAATCATTTTTGGACAAAACCCTGGTTAGTTTACAACAGTTCAAAACTTGAGATATTGAGACTATTTTGGTAGATTCCAAAATTGTTTCGATCTACCAAAATTGTTTTTCTACAATGTGACTATGTGAATGAACTTTTTCAAAAATATTTAGTTACTGCAATATTTTCCTTGCATGTATGCATAAATATACCTACTTGTTTAAATTAACACAATTGCTTTTAAGTGAATGTTAAGCAAGACCATTTAGTTAAAGTAAGCAAAGAATTGAAGTCAGTATATTTTAAAGATTTTTCATGTTGCATTCTTTTAGTTAATTTGATTTTATACACATTCCTAATGTTGGTCATATTTACTTACTACTTTCAGTAGGTGGTGACTTATCTGTCAGTGTTAATTTACTGTTTACAGTTGGATAGAAATCAAAAAGAGAATTAGACAGAATTAAGATTCTTTTAATCTGCCTCTTTTCATATAAATGCCAATTAACATTTACTAATGTTGGAATCTTACTTTTTTTTTGTCTTTCTATATGTATTTATGTTTGATCCTGGTTATATTTGAAACTAGAATTGATTAGCAAATGATTTTGCTTTATTATTCTAAAAGTGAGTTTTGTATTTATAATATAAGTTGTACATAATGGATTCTACTTGTCTTACCTAGAGTTATAATGGATTCTACTTGCCTTACCTTGTATTATAATGGATTATACTGGAATTTTAAGAATACGTGTGCAGTTTTAGAAATAAAACCAAAGCCACAAGTATGTAGAATCCAGATTATTTTGCATAATTCTTGGAACATTAAAGAAATTTAAAATTTGAATATTTACTTATGAAAGCAAAATTAGTTTTGAATATTTTTTTGCATACTATCAGATAGTTTTGCCAATTTTTTTACTTGTTTTAATGTTGCATTACTTTTACATAAATTGTTACAGTTGAACAAGTCAAACAGGTTTTTATTTTATTATTTGATATAAATTATATCTACTAATAATCATGACAACTTATTTCACCTAAATAATATTATTTTATTTATTTATTTTTTATCTTTTTTTTCAGGTATTCCATATTGATTTTGGCCACTTTTTGAACCACAAGAAAAAGAAGTTTGGGATTAATCGTGAGAGAGTGCCTTTTGTGCTTACAGAAGACTTCATCAAAGTGATAGCAAAGGGTGCTGATCAACCACAAAAGAACAAACTCTTTGAAGAGTATGTATAGATTTCACTCTTTTTAATAAATGTTAATACCTATAAATTTCTATAAAAATGTTGAGTCGAGAATTCAGTTATAACAGACGAACTCATATTTTCACTGTTGAACTCTTCTTTTTCTAAATTTCTTTATGCTGTGTGTCCAAGTTATATATAAAGTTCTCAGCATTGAAGTTGCATATGATAAAGAAAGGGAGATAACTCAAATGTCAAATTAATTCCCTTGTAAATACTTGTGGAACTTTTAGTTACATTTCCTAGCATTTGATAGCCAAGAGGACAATGCCTCTAAATTATCGTCTGAAACTAAAATTCCAGCAATTGTAATCAAGAAAGAGTCAGATGTGTTATAAAATGAAAGTACAGCGAAGTTTAAAAGTAAATTAAAAATTCCAAAATATATCTACATGTGATAGTTACTGGTTAACTGTTTCAACATTCATGTTAGAGGAATGACATATTCTTTTGGCTAAGAAGAAAAAATTGAATCCAACCAGATTTCTTATCTCTACCATCGCAAATTCCAAATGGGCTAAGGCTTACAGCCGCATCATGTTGAAATACAGGTTCCTGTACAATAATTGAAGTTAAGCAACATTGAGCCTGGTCAATATGTAGATGCTGTATAAGCTTGGATGTGCAGATAGTGCAATGAATAATGGCTCAATTGTTAATTGAAGAGTAGAGTTCTAATTCTAGTTAGGTTCATTATATTCGATTAAACACACAATACCCTTGGTAAAGTTATGAATATCCACTTCTGCCTCCAGCTATGGGTTAATTTGTAAGGATTTTTTTTATTTGGTTTAGTGATAAGAGCCTTACTATCTAAAAATATTTCCTGGCTTTTAAATAACCTGCAAATAACAATCTATTGGGTTAGAAATTGGCTTTATGCTCAGGTTGAAAGTAACCAGGCTAATTTAACATGGTTATTAAAGAGTCAAAAAAGGTCTTTATTTATTTATTTTTTTTTTATGTGCATGAGGTAATTGGGTAGTCTTTGGTCATGGTGTTTTTGTTTGAACTGTTTGCAGGATAAAGTGGTAGAATCTTTTTATCCCAAATCAAATGAGTGGAAGTATTCAGATCTGGCGGGGGAAAAAGAAAGACCATTCCTTTGTTGTACATGCTGTAGACTGTTGGGTATTTCTCTTAATAAAACTGCTGTGAAAATAACCAAGAGGCATTTAAACCATAAAAAGCATATTGTGTTGTGCTGGGGTAGAAAGGTTCAATTAAAACGCATTTTGTCTGGTCTTTATTGTGATGGTTCATTAAAAAAAAAATTACATCCACTAGCACATCAACAGTTGCTAAGAAATGGACAACTTATCAACAAGGAAACTTATATTGATATTATCTTTTATGGTTGGTATTAACAACACTAATTACTTGTCAATCTAAATGCATGAGAAGAATTGTTAAATGGTGGTTGACATGGTAAAATTTTATTATCATTATATAAAATATTATCACAAGAACTGTTGTACTTAGAGTATTTTGTTTTCTTATTTCTCTTTATCTCTCACTTGTTTAAGATGCCATATGTCCTTAAAGAGTTGTAGGTAAATGATGACTCCCTCCAGATTCCTTTTGTTTATTAGAGCTGAAATTGCCTTTGGGAAAAAGGTAATGGAGTATATTCTCTGTTTTGAATTCTAAAAAGCCCTTCTAAACTGAATATCACACAAGGTTAGAAGAGAGCTCAGTCTACCCTACTATTTATCTCGTCTGAAGGTGGGGAGGAAATGGATTTATGCCTTTCCCATGATCATGAAGGTGAAGGCAATAAATGAGGGATTTGAATTTGACTTCCATTTGTAATTCCACTTTTGCACCATTATAAC